GCTTCATCTAACATAGGGAACAGATAGTCCACAATAACCCATCTACAAGGCTTCGGCTAATATAGGGAACAGATAGTTAAAAATAACCCATCTACAAGGCTTCGGCTAACATAGGGAATAGATAGTCCACAATAATCCATCTAAAAAGCTTCGGCTCACATAGGGAACAGATAGTCCACAATAACCAATCTACAAGGCTTCGGCTATCATAGGGAACAGATAGTCCACTCTAATCCATCTACGAGGCTTCGGCTAACATAGGGAACAGATAGTTCACAATAACCCATATACAAGGCTTCGGCTAACAAAGGGAACAGATAGTCCACAATAACCCATCTACAAGGCTTCGGCTAACATAGTGAACAGATAGTCCACAATAATCCATCTAAAAAGCTTCGGCTCACATAGGGAACAGATAGTCCACAATAACCAATCTACAAGGCTTCGGCTATCATAGGGAACAGATAGTCCACTCTAATCCATCTACGAGGCTTCGGCTAACATAGGGAACAGATAGTTCACAATAACCCATATACAAGGCTTCGGCTAACAAAGGGAACAGATAGTCCACAATAACCCATCTACAGGGCTTCGGCTAACATAGGGAACAGATAGTCCACAATAACCCATCTACAGGGCTTCATCTAACATAGGGAACAGATAGTCCACAATAACCCATCAACAAGACTTCGGCTAATATAGGGAACAGATAGTTCACAATAACCAATCTACATGGCTTCGGCTAACATAGGGAACAGATAGTCCACAATAACCCATCTACAAGGCTTCGGCTAACAGAGGAACCGATAGTCCACAATAATCCATCTACAAGGCTTCGGCTACCATAGGGAACAAATAGTCCACTCTAATCCATCTACAAGGCTTCGGCTAACATAGGGAACATATAGTCCACTATAATCCATCTACAAGACTTCGGCTAATATAGGGAACAGATAGTTCACAATAACCGATCTACAAGGCTTCGGCTAACATAGAGAACAGATAGTCCACTCCAATCCATCTACAGGGCTTAGGCTAACATAGGGAACAGATAGTCCACTATAATCCATCTACAGGGCTTCGGCTTACATAGGGAACAGATATCCTACTATAAGCCATCTACAAGGCTTCGGCTAACATAGGGAACATTTAGTCCACTATAATCCATCTACAAGGCTTCGGCTAACATAGGGAACATATAGTCCACTATAATCCATCTACACGACTTCGGCTAATATAGGGAACAGATAGTTCAAAATAACCCATCTACAAGGCTTCGGCTAACATAGGGAACATATAGTCCACTATAATCCATCTACAAAGCTTCGGCTAATATAGGGAACAGATAGTTCACAATAACCCATCGACAAGGCTTCGGCTAACATAGAGAACAGATAGTCCACTCCAATCCATCTACAGGGCTTAGGCTAACATAGGGAACAGATAGTCCACTATAATCCATCTACGAGGCATCGGCTAACATAGGGAACAGATAGTTCACAATAACCCATATACAAGGCTTCGGCTAACAAAGGGAACAGATAGTCCACAATAATCCATCTACAAGGCTTCGGCTCATATAAGGAACAGATAGTTCACAATAATCTATCTACAAGGCTTCGGCTAACAGAGGGAACAGATAGTTCACAATAATACATCTACAAGGCCTCGGCTAATATAGGGAACAGATAGTCCACAATAACCCATCAACAAGGCTTCGGCTAATATAGGGAACAGATAGTTCAAAATAACCTATCTACAAGGCTTCGGCTAACATAGGGAACAGATAGTTCACAATAACCCATATACAAGGCTTCGGCTAACAAAGGGAACAGATAGTCCACAATAATCCATCTACAAAGCTTCGGCTAACATAGGGAACAGATAGTCCACAATAATCCATCTACAAAGCTTCGGCTAACATAGGGAACAGATAGTCCACAATAATCCATCTACAAAGCTTCGGCTAACATAGGGAACAGATAGTCCACAATAATCCATCTAAAAAGCTTCGGCTAACATAGGGAACAGATAGTCCACAATAATCCATCTACAAGGCTTCGGCTAACACAGGGAACATATAGTCCACTATAATCCATCTACAAGGCTTCGGCTAACATAGGGAATAGATAGTCCACAATAATCCATCTAAAAAGCTTAGGCTAACATAGGGAACAGATAGTCCACAATAATCCATCTACAAGGCTTCTGCTAACATAGGGAACAGATAGTCCACTATAAGCCATCTACAAGGCCTCGGCTAACATAGGGAACAGATAGTCCACTATAATCCATCTACAAGTCTTCGGCTAACATAGGGAACAGATAGTCCATTATTAAAGTCAACCACTTTGTGGCATAAAATAATCACAAGAAATAAATAAAACAAACACACGTGTTTGTAAGTTAAATATCGTGCGTTATTAGGGAGCTTGATGATATTTTAACTAACATTGAGTTACCGACTACATGCTATTATATATGTAATGAATACAACTGGTGAACCAGGTAAATGTTCCGATTATCATATACTCTGACTGTATCTCTTTTGAGCAGTAATTATTAATTTTAGCTCAATATTTTGGGTTGTCGGCAGGCGCGGTTGATATCGAACTTGCCTTTCAACACGATAGCCTTTTTTTAGAGTTTACGATGTGAATAGATATCAGGTCACCCGTCCGATCAGGTCGATTTCCACTGGTGTTCCGGTTTCATCCCACATGCCATCCCACATTAAAAACCCCTGCGCCTTTCAACCGAGCCAACAGTAGCGAGTATTATAAGTTACAAAATATTTGTGGTAAAACAAAGTTTATGTATCGTTTGCAAAATTTAACTGCAACAGATGAACATATTTCTACATGTTTTGTATTTAACATTTTGTGATCATTTTTATCCGGATCAAACTCAAAAATGTTTTCTTAAACCTCTTAGTCTGTTAACATAATCTCAGTAAGTACTCGTCGGGTTTGCTCTAAATTATGTTGTAGAATCGCAATAATCATTAAGAAAGGAAAAATTGAAACAAGCCAATTTGTTGAGACGAAATCCCCTACTTTGTGGGCAATGATACAGCTATGGTCAATGACTGAGAGTCGATGAAGACGTGCTTAGTGAAGGACTTCTCAATATGTTGTGCATTGAAGAATATGGATTTCATTGAGAATGTAGTTGAATTTGACCACTTTCCTTATATAGTAATCAGTAATCGGCAAATGGTTAACCGTTTTTGCCTATATGTTATGCACGAAAAGCAAATCTTTATCCATTATCATATAATGTCAGGTTTAAGGTTTTTAATGTCTGTTCTGTGGTAAAGTCATATATTTCTCTAGAACGAATGAGAATCTCTGTAGGCATGTTGCTTATAACAATAATTGTTTTGTGATAATTTCGAGGATATATCACCACTAATGAAAATATAAAATTGGTATTAAAATATAGTGAAGCATTTGTTAATTTACTTTGACCATGGTTATTAAATTGTTCTATTTTGTGAGTATGCTTATATTAATATAATCGTTTCCGATTATCAAGCCAATAATTGTACCCAACCTATGTAACACGTGGTGTATAATCCAAATCTATGACGAAAGAAGGTGAAAGACGTGTTTAAATTTCACAATTAGTTTTTCACTAAATCCTGACTGTTTTGTCACTTGGTGATTTGACAACTAAATGATAACTAAATTAAAGAAGAATTTTCCATTAAGAATTTAATGCAACCCTTTAAGATGTTTCTGTCCTTGATAAATATTTGAAAGTTCCACAAAATGCAGATCAATGTCAGGATTGGAAGAGGAATACCAGGATTTTTCTAATTTGTTAAGTGAGAAAAATTGGTATTCGTTTAATTTCTTTTATGGGGTTTGAGAGCCTCGCCAAATCTAATGTGTACAAAGAAAGGATTCGTAAGGACATAGCGCTGAAATCCAGAAAAGAGTATACATAAATTAGGGTGCCTACGTTCTCCTAACAGCTATGGTCATGTGAAGACTAAGGATACACAACCGAAAGAGTAGGTAAAAGAGACAGAAACGTTAGATCCCCAGTGCTGCAATGAGGGCTAGGAAATCACTCTGAATTGCTTCAATGTTGTTCACGTAGAAGACATCGAGGTAGCTCAAAATAAGTCACTTCCTAACGACATGCAGCAAGAAACAGAAGGTCTATAACCATGAACCTTTACAGGAAGTGAAGAGTAAAGAAAATATTTAAAATGGTGCAATATGCAAACTGGCAATATCAGTCCCTGCGAGGTGTATTTATTTGAACATAGCAGCTACTTTATATTTTAAACGTTGCGCAGAAAACTATAGTGCTTACATACAAAAAAAATCTTTGTTCTCATTTTCGTTTATGTGAATAAATAATTTAATCAAATATTCAAATAATATCTAACAACACATTTACGTAGCTACATACCAGTCTTGGATATATTTTGCACCCCCCCTCCCCCCTTTACCCCCTCCCCATCCGGGATGCATATTGATCCAGACGCGTGAAGTAAAAATCATCAACAGGACATTCATTTTAATACACAACTGACTTTAAATAAGTTATATAACTAAAATAAATTTTGTTCAATAATGATGTGACGTCCCATGATAAAGCGTGTTGTAACATTCTTTCTTTAACTTTGACATGAAACGATCACTATTGAAAGAGTACGTCTCCTCTTCTGAACATAAACTGCGTCGTAGACTGTTTGTTTGTTCTCGGTTATTGACATAGGCTCATTGCCTTAGAAATCATGACATCCCAGTGGAAGGGATAACAAAGCAGCTCATTTTAAGTCCATAGCCAGCAAATTTCATATGCCTCGTCGGTCAATTTCCCAATAACAAATATCATCTAACCAATCAGATTTGAGCCAAATGGCGAAGGGAGGCCCGCAAACTAAATAAGAAATATCGAATGCATTAAGCAAACAGACTGCTCAATAGGATTGCTTACGTAAAAAGCCGGTATAAAACCAGAGGATAGCCATTACCGTGACAGCGACAGACGCTCCTTGACGAGAGAGGGAAAGAGATATTTGTATATTTTTTACGTTAGGTTTCGGATCCCAACACGACCTGTAATAGAAAGAGGTGGCTAAGGAAGCACGTTTTTATATCTTACCAGCCCTATTCGGGACCATGGCAAAGAACTTCCATTTCTTCCCCGGGTTTGTGACATGGATACTCTTTCTAGGAACAACGGGCCTATGGAATGCCGCGCAGGGTTACACCTACGGCGAGTAAGTGGCGCCCTTTATATATAATCCTATGTCATAGTGTGAGACAGAGTATCTATAAAGGAAGGACTTTTTACATGTTCATGCTATTTGAAATAAGTTATACCCAGCTATAATTAATATAAATTTAATATTTATTTGATTTAAATGTTATCAGACTGGAGCCAGATTTTAATTTCTAAAAAAATAGCACCGTATTTACATACCACTTGTATTTATAAATATAATGCCGCTCTTTGAATGGTCGGTTTGCGGTACAATACCAGTGTAATGTTTTACATGAGTAAAACACCGCTTTTATTTTCAAGATGATGCAATATCTTGTCGGTAAAATACAGATAAACACCTAAAATTCAAGTCACTCTCTAGTTCCGAGCTATCGGATTCAGTCTCTAATTGGTTCTACTGCTAAGTCGATTATCAAAATTATAATTTACGAAGCATTATTTTCTTCCGAATTCAATAATTCTATTATGATTTTGGGAATTGATTAATTTCACGTACCTCATCCCCTGTCTACAGAAAGAATTACTAGACAAGATACATTGTTCAACGACTAACGAAGCTTGATAATTACCTCATGCAAAACATTAATAACTTTGTTTATGGTTGCCCACAAATGGACAATGAAATAGGACTTAGCAAACTAGATTGAATGTTTTAACCGATTTTAACCGATTAATTCAACACATTTTTTTCTCATAACGACATATACAAAACATTGGTTATTATGCGCCATTTAAATATTTTACCATACAATTTTAAGAATTAATAGCCTCTCGAGGCGGAACTGATTTAGTAATATAAACAGTTATGCAGAAGTGGATCGTGTTTGTTTTATAAATTTACCATCTCATGCCTAATTAGTTTTATCTGTTGTATTTTTCTTCTACTACTGAAAAGAAAAGTCTCCACATTAGATTCATGCATGTTAATCGTGCTAAATAAGTGTTTAAGAGGCACATCTGTACACCGGCTATTAGTACATAGTTACACGGGCATTGTTACTCCACGTCTAAACGCGGATCGTACCATTGATCTCGTGCGTTAGTCATATTTATCGGCAGGCAAGTTGGCTACGTTTCATACGGAGTGGAAGTTTATGTTAGATGTAAGCGTGTTGACAGCAGCTGGTGGTCCAGCTTTGAGTGAGATAAAATGTACACACACATTATTAGCTTTGTATTTAGGTCAGTAGGTAAGACATTGTTCTCAAACACTTCATTTTGATAAATCGGTTATTGCATTGTGTAATATTTGATAAAGTAAGTTTGTTGACGAAATTCACTTAAAATAGGAGTAAACTTGCTATGCTGTGCGATTTGCGTTCGTTTATTATAATTATACTGTCGCAAATTAGGTTAAACTAATCGTTTCCATGTGAGAAATAAATTTCCTGTTTGCTTAACAACCGCTTTCTGGTAGACAATTCCTGATCGCTTATTTTATCGGTTACTTAAACTTTGTTTAGCCAGGTTGTGTCATGTCACCGGGTCCTTTCTCCCGTTTGCTTTAGTGAATTTAAAGGTCGTTTCCATGATGCCTTGAAGCATCATGGTTTTTGATTAAATACGTCATAAGTTTAAATATAATATAATGGAGTAACATACACTTAAATGTGAGGAATGTACGGTATAGGATATTATTGCTTTAGGTAATTGACTGCACGAGACCGACGTTATGTGAATAAATAATATTCCGTTATATTTGCAGCGCAGTATTATTTCGTAACTACCGAAAATAATAAGCGCATAATCATTGCTGCTCGATCGATGCTGTGAAAAAGGGGCATTGCACCCATTTTCATTGTATGACCTTTTCGCACACACATTTATTCTTTTATTTTGGAATGGGGAGTCCTTCGTTGAAGACAATTAAATAAACTCCTATTTAATATATATGTAAATGACATAACAGTTACGTGTCGATTAATCATTTAATATCTCCACTGTACATAATTACAAAGATAAATACTCAATACTGTTTTTGGACGTTAAATACATAATTCTCTGATTATGATAAAAGTGTGATGTTATATCAATCATACAGAACAGTGTTGTCTATTCACCGCATGCAAAGCTGTCAATTCGCTGTTCAACTGCAGAAAATATGACATAAAACGTCGTTTAAGTAAACACTTCATTTCAGAAATTGTTTGTCATTTAACATGAAATATATGTGAATGTTGGTTTTTATTTAACGGAAAACGATTAATATAATATTGGTTTTCATTAATTGTACTTATCTGAAAGTGCGCATATATATAAATATTCGCAGTTAAGACATAAAAAACATACATAAAATGTTAGATAACATTATAAACATGGGACAAAATAAAAATAAAACATTAATCGAATCATGTCTGAATTTATCAAAATGTTATTTTCAAGACATATCTATTTAGTGAAAATGTTATTTGACCATGCCGACATTTTACTGCTTCACTCGACGAATTCCGCAACCGTGTTGCGTTTGTTTGTACAATGTGTTCGAGACGGACAATTAAGAAGGTGCTACCCAAATCCAACATCCGTAATATAGTGAATGAAGCAAAACGTTCAGCGTTCCAGTTGCTATGTTGACTATTGTTTGGAGTTTATTATCCTATCTTTTATTTCCATTGCAAATGTCTGATCTATTTCTAGACTTTGAAATTTTAGAAAACATCTTATATGTCAACTGTTTTCTCAGATGTAAACTTCATTCGTTCCCCTCAAATGGTTGTAGGCGCGTGATGAACCGCTGATGCAAGTAGAAGTAATATGAAACAATGTCACTATACTAGGAGGAACAGGTACATTTAAACCTAGACTGAAATTTCATTTTATTATATCGTTTTATGTATAAACGTTTTCAAATTTTTGATTTTTCTAATAGATATTAAGAACATGGACTTCATACATTTACGATAAGAAGTTAGACAGAATGCCAAGTTTTGTGTATAAAACCGAATTCACTCTAGATTGGCAATGTCAACACCATATTAAAGCTGACATGTCTATTTTAATACCGATCTTAGACTTTACTCAATCAAATAAACCATATTATCAGACTTGATGTCAATGATATCCCCGATAACCGATACACTTAGCAATGCCTTAAGCTATGCTGACGGATGTCGATCAGATTTGAGCCATAAAATAAAACATATTGGAATAATCAGCTATCAGTCTATATTGTTTGATACTGACAGGTAGTAATTTTTATCTTACTCTGCTCACATACACACATGGGAGGGAACAATTAGGTGTTGAATTAAACGTAACGTAAAGTAACAAATACAACATCAAAGCTAGTACAACGGCGTATGTGTGTCATACCATGGGTTTTCTATACTATATAAGCTGTACTGCGGAGACAGGTAACAAAAAAACCGAGAATTAGTTTTCAAATATCTTGTAGAGGAAAATATCCCTTTGTCAGTTCACAATCTAAATCTATTAAGTAGATCGATAAATTCAGACACACCCGGTTAGTTTCGTTCCGAACAGCTGCTGCGCTACAGTACAAACTGATTTAAATATGATCGATTAAGTAAACTTTAAGTCACATGGTAGTAATACGGCATTCTAGTAGTTAAGGATCATCGCACCACTGCGAAAAATGTAACTCAGTGATGGAAACTGTTTTGATTAAATAATTTCTGAAAAGAAACCATACCTTACGGGACTTCTATGAAGAAATATAAAGGTGAAACAAACAACATATACGCAACAATAGTGCTTTGAGAGTAACAATTCAGTCGGGCTAGACTAGGATTCGAACCCTGGACTTCAGTCTGATGTATTATTGAGCTACTTGGTCATCGGATGTGTCATGCCCCAATTGTTTTACCGTCATATCAAAATGGAAGTTGAGGGGAGGTAACTGTATATAGGGAAAAACCACATTGCACTGAGAAAGCGATCCATTACACAGATGTTAATAGATTATTGTCGTCGCATCAATGTAGTACACTGTACTTACATCAATGTAGTACACTGTACTTACATCAATGTAGTACACTGTACTTACATCAATGTAGTACACTGTACTTACATCAATGTAGTACACTGTACTTACATCAATGTAGTACACTGTACTTACATCAATGTAGTACACTGTACTTACATCAATGTAGTACACTGTACTTACATCAATGTAGTACACTGTACTTACATCAATGTAGTACACTGTACTTACATCAATGTAGTACACTGTACTTACATCAATGTAGTACACTGTACTTACATCAATGTAGTACACTGTACTTACATCAATGTAGTACACTGTACCTACATCAATGTAGTACACTGTACTTACATCAATGTAGTACACTGTACTTACATCAATGTAGTACACTGTACTTACATCATTTTAGAACTTAAGAAAACTGTGAGTATATTAAACACAATCGAGTTTTTACGCCCTTGCAACAGCCAGGTTTAAATAAGGACGACATAATGAAGGTCTGGTAAATATCATTTTAATGTTTAGATACAACGAAGAAAAAAAACCCGATTCTGCAAAGGCCCCACTTTAGAAATATATAACACGGAATATAGTTTTAAGACCTTTGCGTTTCAAAATAGTTTTTTGATTATTGAAATACCAAAGTGGAATAGAAAGCTCCCTGGCGACGTTGGACACTCGCGACCTATGATGAGTGATGAACTACGAAGGCCTGCAATAGTTGTCGGGTCATTAGCCATGCAATTGGTGCAGCGGATATTCTATATATATATATATTTCTGTATATAAAAGTCATGTTTTATAACCTCGTATTACGTCACAAATTAGAGGATGAACACTCTGATTCACAAGCAGCATTGTTTCATTTGCAGTGAAAACGTCTGTATGATCGACGTGACAAGAACAAATCAAACAGAAGCTCCATGCAAAGACTATCTGGACCTAGTGCTCACAGATAACCCATTCACGCTGATGATGAAAGAAAGCTTCCCAACCAAAGAGGAGTATGACGATCGAGTTAATATATTAATGGGTAAGTGTTGTAAATTCGACTTTATCGCTGGGGTGTTAGTTCCTATTGATGTGGTCTTTTGAGAACTTTGACTGAAATACAAAGAAATCATGGTCTTACTGAATTCTGCAAAATATATATAATTTACTTCAAGATATCTCTTTTGAACTTATTCAGACATCTCTACTAATTCATGAGATACCTTATAGAGAATTAAGATTCTCATATAATACAAATTACATTATAAGTCCCCGTTATATTTAGATAAGTTTTATTCATAAGAATAAAGATTTTATTCATTTAAAACTATTTTTCATACATTTAGATGTATCTGCATTTCGTTAAATGCAAATGATTGAAAGATATTTGAATTAAAATGAGTATAATCTCTATATCTTTGATAAACATCTTAAGCCAAAAATATTGCGTATACATTTGTGTCGTCTAGATCTCTATATAAAGTCAAGTTGACATGTAATTGTGAAAAATGAGTATACTATGCGATGGTAAAAAAATAGCGGAGATATACACGGCTTGTAGTGTTATTTTTTTTTACATTTTCACTGCAGTGCCTTGTTGTCGATCGTAACGTCATTATAACCAGGCGTCAGATTTTACGCTAATAATTCTCGCGCTTTTTTGACGTAATAGTATCTGCGTCGTTTTACTTAAAAAGGTGCAATACTATATATATTTCATCCATATGACAGAATTTGCCGACATATTCACCAGGGACCACGGTTGCCAAGTGGTTAAGGCGTCTGACTTACTGCTACCACTAGTCCTCACTGGATCGCGGGTTCGAGGCCTACGTGGGGCAGTCGTCAGATACTGACCGTAGGTCGGTGGTTGTTTTCCGGGAACTCCGGCTTTCCTCCACCACAAAAAACTTGGCACGCCTTAACTAACAATAGCTGTTGATAGATCGATCATTTATAATACTCGTAAAATATGTATAGAAGTCAACAGGGAACCAGTAAATACCCTTGCGCATAAATAAGTGGTGGCCACACGTGTTATCCTGTTCAAATGATAGGTCAGTTGCTATCCTTTATAACGTAAGAACAGCTCAGGTTGAATTTGATCGAAGGTTATTTCAAAACCTCCTTTTCTTTAAACATTGTAAAGTATAGAAGGATTACCAGACTCCTTGAAACAAAAAGTTATTTGTATATATTAATGAAACAATTCTATGTATTTTTTAAATAAGTGATATTTATTTGATATCGGAGGAGTATGTTTTAAGAACATGAAGTTCGTAATTGTTTAACTGCATGTCTAAGTATAAGTTGTGTAGATGTGAATGCAGAGTACTTCTTTATGGAAGTTTGAATGAGAGTTTCAATATACTGTAAAGTGTTTATTTTAGCGGACTCAAATGTTAGCGCTTCACCATTTTTTTTTTACTGATAAACGCATTGATGAATTGGCACGTTCACAATATATGAAATGGAAATCTATGATCGTAAATCAACGCAGTCATGAATTTCAAAAATATTCTTCTTCTAGTTGTAGTTAGTCTCTAACTGTTACTTAATCATTTTCATAATCATGAAAGGGAATTTCTGACATACAAAAAAGACATCTGATATTACGATAGCATGACAGTCTTGCATGCTGTTAAACAAAACGTTCTTCCACGTCTATACAATAATAACACTTTCACATTATTTATCAATACAAAAAAATATATATCATTTTCGTTGCAAGTCAGACATTTTACGCAGGTAAAATGGAAAAGATGCTTAAAATATGGTATCATTATTTGTTCTTTCAACTTAACCTTACCGACGCGTATCAACATAATCAAGTGAACTATTATTAAGACATGCAACTTTGAATATTTTGTTAAATGTTACACGAAAAACATTTAAACGCACGTTTTCAGTGATGAACATGTTGTTATTATTATATGTTATTGCAAGAGAGGAACTGAGGTTATCGATAGCATATATTGGATATTAAGCAATAACCTGCGTTCAGTTGACAGGTTAAGGTTGAAGTTGCCTTTATTCGCACATAATAAACAGTTCGATATTAAGATTTAATCTATATTTTTTTTTTTTAATATTTAAATATTAATAAAAAATCTTATTATCTGATCAAAAGCCAGCTCTTAGTTCAAACTATTAAAACAATGTGTTTATCCGGTATATTTGTTTAACATTGTTTGACCAGTCATCTTCCAGACGGGGTCAGTGGTATATAATGTTAATGTTAAGACGTCATAGCAACCGAGTGCGAGTTGGTGAAGTAATCTGTAAAATTATATGAAGACATTTCGTCTCTATAGTTCTTTTACCATACAATACAGTCGGTCAAAGGAACAGGGTAAATGTTAACTCAGTTTCACTTTAACAATGTGTTACATGTTTTGGGTTGTCTTATCATCCATCACCTGACAGCATTATTAAAGAGCTTTTAAGACGAATTGTCTCTCTACAATTTTGATGGCACCGTCTCCGCGCACCTCGTAATTGGTTTTGAAATAAGCTAGGTTAAACAAGGTTAAACATGCATCGGCAGTGTAACAGTAATATTGGTAAGGTTTTAAGTAGAGTATACGAGTAACGAGAGCGGAACTGTATATACCGTTTCCTTCAGCCAGATGTCAAAAGATTTCCCCAAATTGAATGTCGCCTTTTGTAATGACAGTAGTGAACGTGAGGAATTTTCAAAAATATTATGAAAAAAAATCCATTGACTTTGATTTTTAAGTGCTTTGTATTGGATCCATTTTCCTTCAGGACTAGCCGTATTCGCTCTGAAAAGTTGTGATATAAAGGTCTAATGTACGTTCTGGTGAACAATTATCAAATGTCAAACACTGCAGCAGTTACCTCTTCTCATGATTTAATCTCTACTCTCCTCCTTTTGAGACGGGTTTTGATGACTAATAAAATATTTTCAATTGTGTTGAAATCGGGACTATGAGCTAGCCACGATATTTTAGGGACATTATTTCTGTGCTCCCAATCCATATTATACTGACGGTGGGGTTGGCATGGTAATCATGGAAAATCCAACGTGTATTTGGAAAAGTTTAGCGATTGCAGGCCATACGTTTTCTTCCAAAATGTTTACGTATTTCTCTGAATTGATGTTTCCAACTACTGATCCTACTGTGTCCACTCTAGCATAGCATATACATCCCCATATTGCTGACGACTTACACTGGGGGTCAGGATTTGAATGCTTTCCAAGAGAACTTGGGAGTGATTGCTTGCTGTTTTCCCCCAAAATTCTATTTTTTTATCTGTCCCTAAAACAGCTTTTGTTTCATCGGGAAAATATATTGTTTCTTCAGTTCCCATTTACTGTCCATGCTAGACGAGAACCGTACCAAGATCGCCTTTGTACTCGGATCACTACTTACATTACACTACTTTCCCTGACAACTGTGCGTTTATCACCATACAGCATTAAACTGTTTCACAGTACTCTAAGATAATTTGACTGGTGTTTCATTGCGGAATTAATTTTTACTTCATTCATCTTATTCATTTACGATCATTCCGTGATATTTAAAATTTGAGTTTGCTTCTCCGGCGGCTGTTTTCTTTCGATTCGAGTTCGTTGTAGCGTTTCGAAAAAATTGAAATTGTAGATCGACCCCTACAAAGAATTTCTGCTATTGAATGGGCACTTTAAATACATGTCCATATTGAATACTTGATCTTATAGTCGTAATTTTAATATATGGAATAACTCGTGTCCGTTTTGCAGACGACAATATAAAATGTACGGGTCAAAGTGCTTCATTTGTTGTACATAAAAAACGCAATGGCAAAACTGTTACCCTGAACATTTTGGCTGTATGTCGAGATTGCATAAATGGGAATTTCTGTTGTATCCAAAACCTAGCAAAAACATATTTGAAGCAATGCCCATTTTCGAAAAGTCTTTTGACCTTTGCCTATAGATTAATATTGAAAGTAAACACATATGTGTACACTTCTGCATACCTCTTTATACATGCCATACACACATAGAATCATGATTGGCATTTCTTTTCTCTTTCACAGACAAAGATCCAAAGTATACCAACAAAATGTGTATATTTTCAAGGTAAGTGGTATCATTATATGACACATTTTAGTGAATAATATAACAATGTTAGTACGTGACTCAATATCATGCACAGACTGCCATACCGTGTATGTAGATTATATGGAAAATGATATGGCTATCAGAATGCAATGTTTAAACGCGGTGACACATTCGTTTATATACATTTTATTGAAATGGGACGACATTGAATTTAAGAGGATTATGGCCGATCAGTTGTATCAAACTTTGACTGTAGTGATGTTTTAAACGAAGCAACACCATCAAATGATATAACATTATATCGATATATGTATCGATAATAAAAATTGCAAAAACGAGAGATTCATATGATTGCAGAGTTATAGAATATATTGATATTTAAACTGGAAAAAAAGAAAAGATATCCCTGCAAGGTACAATTATGTATTCACGTAAAAGATGAAAAAGGTATTCAATAGGCCGGATATACATTATATTATTCGTCATTTATACATCGCAACAGTACAATGTACATACAGATTGTGTGTAAAGTGACCGAAATGATTTTGTGCGCCAGGCGATTCTGTGGCAGTGCGTAGCAGCTCTCGTGGTAGTCTTCGCCTACACTTGCCATTGCAGGCATATTTCGTAGCGGTTTATGCATAAGTCTTGTAACCTTCTTCCAACAATCGGCGTCAAAAGTAAACAATATTTAAAGTTATACTTCGAACCTTTGTCCAAAATCATAGCTATTTGTAGTTATAGCCCGAGGCATTGTTATCGTGAGTGCGCGCTCAGTTGTGTTGTTTACATATTTGCGCCGCTTTGGAAACATTCAGATATTTAGTATTTGTTTAGTAGCAGAGTGTAAGATGCGCATAGCACTAACCATCAATGCCGCGAACTGTGATACACTTTAAGAAATAAATAGGTCTAGCAGGGCAAATGCCATCTTTCAGAAACGTTGCGAGGGTGATTGGACCTTATCCTCGGTAAAATTGAATAGAAGCCCGAGCGTATATAGTACTACGCGGGACTCTTTCGGAGATAAGGGATTAGTGGTACCTGCGCCCATGGCTTTGGGTAGCCAGGTTGGGGCATATATTAAGTACTGCTGTATATAATGATGTAAATCACTATTGCTTGTGTCTGTACAGTTTATTTGTACCATAACCTTTATTAAAATATATTTCCGTAGCACACACCAATAGTTTGTAATTTGTTAATATGCATAGTGCTGTGAGTGTCTACGTGATATATCTCTCGAAATCTTATACCTGCTGCTATTATTTTAATTAACACGGCATATATTTTTTTACCAGATACGACCGAATAACTCTTTATTAATTTTCTACAGAGAAAAAGAGGGTTTCGTTTGCTGACTACCTAGTTACGATTTTTCTATATCACGTCATGTCGTAATATAAACGCATGTGCTATGGGCGATAACTCCTACAGACTGCGAGTGTCGTCTTCAAACAACATACACAAACATACCAAGTCTGCCAACCACTGTAGGGTTTTCAAAAAATCGATTGATCGTCCTCGCAACAGCTGGGTGTTTTGAAAACTGATGCCTAGGAAAGATAATGACACAATTGCAAAACAATTTGGGTCTCTTCAATGCCCCATTATCAGAAGACAGAAGGAAACCCACAATTCTGCAGGGGACCCTCATTTGTCCCCACTTACAATTTGCAGTAAAATACATCAGGACTATTACATTGTAGTTGGTTTGCAAAATAAATATTCTTTATTCAAGGGGTGATAAGGTATTTTGCAACAGTCTTTAACACATTCTAACATCGACTTTTACAATTTTTGTCATTTTACCAATTTGATGCACTAATCGATCATTTTTTTTTTTTTTTTTTATACCCATGCAATTTGTTCCCATTAGTGAATAGGTGTAACTATTGAACCATGCAGAGGCATTGATGTTTGCTCAAAAACGTCCTCAGACGTTTAATCCTAGGAGATCCCGTACTTATATTAGTGTTTAGGTTGTAAATATTTCACTTGTGCCTAAACACAAATGTTCTCAACGTATATATATATATATATAATTTGTTTTATTTATATTTTAACCGTCACATGGACATTTAAACATGTTTATCGTTATATAGTTTACTTTACACTAGCTGATTCCGTCCTTCCCCTTCTCCTTCAATTTAATCCATTCACCATGCACATGTAGTCACCTATCCACATTATCACGCAATTGTTTTATACTAGTTAATCCCTTCCTTCCCATTCTCCTTCCTCATGCCCCTGTGATCACCTATCCACATTATCACACATTCGTTTTATACTAGTTAATCCCTTCCTTCCCATTCCCATTCCCCATGCCCATGTGATCACGTATCCACATTATCACACATGTGTTTTATACTAGTCAATCCCTTCCTTCCCATTCCCCTTACTCATGCCCATGTGATCACGTATTCACATTATCACACATTCGTTTTATACTAGTTAATCCCTTCCTTCCCATTCCCCTCCCTCATGCCCATGTGATTACGTATCCACATTATCACACATTCGTTTTATACTAGTAAATCCCTTCCTTCCCTTTCCCCTTCCCCATGCACATGTAGTCACCTATCCACATTATCACACATTCGTTTTACACTAGTTGATCCCTTCCTTCCCATTCCCCTTCCTCATGCCCATGTGATCACGTATCCACATTATCACACATTCGTTTTATACTAGTTAATCCTTTTCTTCTCATTCCCCTTCCTCAAGCACATGTAGTCACCTATCCACGTTATCACATTTAACTTTACGCTGATAACTAAACTCACGTGACACCCTCACAAAACATACCTTTACAGAACAGACCAATGATAACAACAGAACAGAAAACAAATGTCTGAACGCCCACACAGAAAACACTCAGAAAGGTAAATTCCATCTTGTCTTAGTAGCGTTTAAAAAAAAGACGGGTGTGAATAATAATAGAGTAATAAGTTAAGCACAATGAATATTATTATATCATATATTCATATCTATCTGCAGATAAAATAAATTACATTTTTTATCAACATTGTTACTGATTAGTATTATGCAATGCGTTAATCGTCAATATAGTTACATTTTAATCTGTATTTTGTTTAATATTGCTATACTGATACAATTTTATGTATAATTTTGATAATAGATCGTACTCAACTAAAGCGCCTGGATGCTGCGCCGGTTGGACGGGACCAGATTGTCTAACAGGTGAGTGTCGAACACGTGATACTATATTGAATGTTAGACACAGTTCAAAATTAAAGCGTTACATTGGCCCCGATCACAAGGTTACATATGTGATAACAATACACACAGCGATTTTATGCGTTCGAACTATGATCCATACAATAATTACCTTTGGCCCCAAATTCGGAGATTTTCACATGTAAGTGGAAAGCTAACACAAATACGTTTTGTTTTTTGTAAAGCAATTTGTGAGCCTCCCTGTTCCAATAACGGCCAGTGTACTGCACCACACGTGTGTACATGTGATTCAGGTTACGCTGGGACATTCTGTGATGAAATCGAACTAGGTAAGTTTAGTTCACAAACTCTTTATCACCCATGTAAACCGTTTATTTATAAGTGGACTTGTTTCATTTGTCAAATATTTCTCATTATGTGAAAGATTGCAGTCACGTAATGACAGTTGTAAACCACAATTCGAGATAAAATGATATCCAATGTTTTCCCTTTAATGTCAGAGCGTCAATGCCGACACAATATAGATAATTTATTTTTATGTAAATACTGAACTTCTCCCACAAGTCAATGAAAGACAATGTTTACACCAACTGAAAAGCAAGATAAACAATTTTTAATGATCCTGAAATGAGTTGTCAATCATGTAAGGAATCAATATTAATGTTTCCAGACTAAATAATAGAATGGAAGGATGGATGTACTTGCACATCATATAATTTCCGAAGAACAGGTCGTTATCTAAAGAAGATAAAACATTTTGTGTTATCCAACGCTGCAGTTGTGGCGACGTACGTTTGATGACGTCAGCAATTGAATGTTAACCTTTTTAACAATAGGGTTTTAATTTCCATTTCGTTTTAATTTGTTTTAGTGGTTAAAATAATGCCAATCAATTTTCATGAAGGAAATAATCTATGACATAAGATAATTTCATCATAAATATTATAATAACATAACCCATTTATAAATTCAAATATATTATTGAATAATACTGATTTGTTCTTTGATATTAGATGTTGATGCGGTCAAACAGTACTGTTACGCTAGTCCGTACTGCCATGGTGAGAAGGCAGATGGGTTTGAGAATAAACTCAGCTACGAGGACGACTGTTGTAAGGGTGGCGGTGCTGGCTGGGGAGCAACTGGAGGCAAATGTGAAGACTGTGCTGGTACGTCTAGACAACTTTATATTATAAATTATATATATATGTTAGACACACATAATTTCACCAGGTAGTGCTACCTTGTATTTTTATTCATTGAATAATTGACTTCGAAACACGGGGATGAAGAAAGACAGTTTTCATGCGTTGTTTACTCTTGCTTTGTTCCGCGCTCTAACAAAACAGTGAGGTGGTGTACTGTATTCCTGTGCTAGGCGATTTCGTGCCAGATGTTGTGAGTTCGTAGTCATAAAATTGTGTCTCTTAGTCACTTGTGTTTCTGTGTCATTTATACATATATCAAACAAATGTTTGGTTGTTTTTGAGATACTCGAGAACTACAGATAATGTTCATGTACATTAAATTTGATCAGTACAAAAATGTTAGCACAACAAATCCGACAGAGATACCTTTATATAAAATATTGACTACAAACAGGCCCAAATACGTCATTTCACAGCAACGTGGGTAAACAGGCATGTCTCCATAGTATACAGTTTGATTTGGCTACTTTTAAAACATATATGTATTTTACAAATGCGGTATGACTTGTGCAATACTTAATGTGTTTGAAGGAGATATTTTTAGATTTTCGTAGCTATCTCCTATTTCAGAGGGGAAAACACCCTTCAAATGTACCTTATAGAAAAAAGATATCACTATATTTTACATGTTCTATGAATTGTCAATTATTTTGCTGAATCGAGTAAACACACAAATATCATAAATTGTGCTAGATCAGCTGTTGTTTCCTTCGGATTCTGTTGCCAAATTTACGCTATATACTGTAAATCAGGATTTCCTGTTAGCATTTAATTGCAAGGATTGAGTAATATCAATTTTTATTCCAAATAGACTCTGTATCATTTATCATGGTTTTCCTCAAAAACTTATAGTTTGCATTTTGTTACCCTGATGATAAAAACTGCATGAAAACCCCAAGACAAACGCCATATGCAGTACTGTACATATATGTTCCGTTGCAAATGTGACGTCTTATAGAAAAGATTAACATCACGCATAGGATACCACTGTATATATTCAGAACAGTGGACCGTGTTCATAATCCTATCAGATCATATTGATCACATTTAATTACATTTCTTTTATAACGGTGGACTCTTCCAAATGCTCTGTCTGCAATTTTTGTTGAAGATGGACACATGTTGCCATCCTCTTTTGTTGTAATTCAATGAAAAAGATTTAACGGAAGTATTGTCATTTATGTACGTAGGTTGTAACACGTGTTCAAGCTATGTCCGATACTGACAGTACAACAAAGACGTTATCACAAGCTCTATTATTCTTTTTGCGCAGAAGCGCAGGATGACGAAGACTCTATGAATCAGCATATATTTCTTTACAAAATTAATCGGTATGCGGCATCTCGGATTTCATATTGTTGCGTTTGACAGTTGTTGTTGGGGAACGGACTCGTTATGTTAATAGCTGACAGATTTAACATATTGAAGTCATACATGTCGAACAAACGGCTTTGCATAGACATTATTTGAAGGCTAAGCGAACTCAAAAACTTAGGTAAATTAATCATGATGTGACCGCCAGAATATGTTGTAAGATTGTATGTATATCGACGTTTGTTATGGGCGATATAGTATGATCTATGTCATGTAATACTATCCTTCACTTGAAAGTATGTACCTTACTTGCTTTCTTATGACTACGACTAGCTTCAGAAGAGTATAACACCAAGTGTGTAGTTGTAAATCGGCGCTTAACTTATGTCAATGTGGTATTGTTTTAGACCCTGACAAAGAACCTTAACTATTTACATTGAACTTCTTTATCTTATTTTCGTAGCAGAATTCAGTAAAATGGATTCTTGTTATAGCGTCATTATTTATGTGAATAGGTTTTATTCAAAGGAGAAAAGTAGTTTTTGAGATGCATTTACGAAGTCGCAACCGGTTAAAATCATAAAATATTTCGATTTGAAATACTTAAGCTGTAGCAATATTTTCAGTTGTTTATGGCGGAGAGGGAGTTGTGGATCAAGTAAAAGATGTTGGCTTCAGAACTTGTTTGAACTGTGGGAGCAGCTACTTCAGAACATTCGATGGTCGCGAATATCAGTTTCAAGGAAGGTGCAAATATACTCTTGCTGCTGACAGTCAAGGCAAATGGCAAGTGGATATTGAACCTGTCGACTGCGATATCTTCGAAACCTGTAGAAAAGTAAGTTTTGTTTGGCATTTGCACTGTTTGTTTACTTTACGTCTTTGATTAATTATTAATTATTAATTTTGATTAATCAACGGTGTCACTTCTTTTTTGCAGGAAGTTACAATTTTTGTAGCGTCTGGTGAAAAATTATCAGTGAAGAATGGAGAAGTTTACGTAGACGGTCAACTTGTTACAGTCTCTACTGATGCCAAAAGCACTGCGGGAAATAGTAAGTAAAAGATGATACATATGATCGTTTTTTAAATTCAATGTTATTTTTTACATTCTAATATAATCATTCATACGAACCTCTAACACCAGATTTCTAATTAAAATATCGTAATTTTTTCTTGTGTATTGCCCGTTCAGTTATATTGCCCTCACATTTAAAATATCATTTTTAGAAAATACAGTTCGTTTACATGTATCTCCCTCCCCAGTAGATTGCTCGCGGTTTATTTGATACATACAAAAACTATAATACGCTTTGAGTACCAGGTTCACTTCCAACTTCAGGTACATATAGTTCTCACTTGTACTTATTTGGATATGTAACAATGTTAATAATCGAACCTTTAATAGAGCTGTACAACTGTACAAGTTAGGTCTATTTTTTAACGTTATATTTACTTTATAATCCAATAGCTTCATTGATTTGTTTCTGGTGTAAACATCTGTGACCACTCCTAGTATTCCGTTAATTACTTCACACGGGCGATTTTTTTTTACAGTACTAATAGTCAGACCATTGAAAAAAAAGAGAACTTATGCATTATATTAATCTGTTTATTATTGAGGATATATCCAATTTGGGATTTGAAAATATCACATAGCCGCCGTTTGACTGTTTCTGTGAAACATTTTGTCAAATAACTCGCTTTATCAGATAGCTAAGAAAGATATTTTTCAACGCAATCACGTAAAATCGGCGAATAATAAATAGATAATACGGTACAGTAATTTATAATTCAGTCCAAAGCCGAGTCGTCCTGATGAATATAACAAGAGAAGTGTCCTTACTTAACTTGTTTAACCGTTAACTAAGCATGGATATATAATATGTATTGATTTATGGGTGGTCGGGTGGTGCAGTGGATAGCGCACTTACCTTTCACTAAGGGGGCCGGGGTTCGAGTCCCCGATCGGACGTGGAAAGGTATGGGGTAACCTGCCAGACCACGTGGGTTTTCTCCCACAATAAGAACCCCCGGAGCGCTAACAAGACTGATTAATATAAGTTATAAAAAAATTGTTTCATAATTTGTGTAAAATATATAAAGTTTATATAGATATGTATTTAAAGCTTTTTATTTTATAACTTAATTGGCCAAGATGAACCGTATGAATCTATTTTGTCGTTCTTCCAAAAAAAAAAGAAATCCGAACAACTATGTATTGTTTAGGCCTTTATAGCCCCAATTCTATGGAAATTCATGATTTTGTATTGAAATATCACATTTGAATATTTCCTGGATGCCGGTATGAAAATATCTATATACATTTTCAATTACGGTTACCATGGTTTGAATTTTGCATGAATAAGTGAGATTTGAATATTGAGTCAATGATGCATAACTTTCACATAGCAAATAGGTAATGCTACGGAAGAGGCGGATAGAAAACAAACTCAAGAAATTGAAACTTTGACAACACTTACATGTACCTACATCATCCACTACCTCAACACCAAAAACGACATGTAAAATGTATTTAAGAAAAGCATTTGATAACACATAGTCATTTTTTTTAAGCATACACTATTCTGAAGAAAGGCGACTGGATTATGATCACAACATCAAACGACAACCTGAGACTGAAGGTAGACTACTTTTCCACATGCTATCTGACACTTGACGACAGTATCCACGGAACAACAAGTGGGCTTTGTGGAAATTTCAACGAAGACTTTAAAGGTAATGTTCTTTCATATATATATTTATTCGTCGATGATTCTGTTTCATCTAATACATCTGTTTATCCGTGAAGGCCAATAGGTTCTTGCCTGATCTTTCCTTTTTTCATAGACTTAAATGTAAGCATATATTATTAACTTGTGTGATTCATTATCTTAATTGTACCGTAATTCCTTGTTAAGATAAACATAACTGACATTCGAACCCATGTTTTCATACTAAGTTAGTCTATACTACAACTAGTATTCTCTGATGATTCAGTTATATTAGCGATCAGTTTGTTTTGATATTAGATTACGATAAACTAGCGTTTTCATACTTTTTGTTTCATTGTGCACATATATGTTCATATGATAAATATTTGATATCAGAAAACTGCTAAAGATATTCAAACGTTTTTCTTTTCGGAAGCTCTATGCAAATAGATATAAAACCAATTGCGTTCCGATAACTGTAAAAGTATGCTTTGCAGTATCTTACATCTCCTTCGGAAGGTGATGCAACGTGAATCCGATTAACGCCTTGCGAATAAATATTATAATTAAATACTGATTTGTTTCTCAACAGATGATTTAAGAACAAAATCCGGTGAGCTAACAACAAATCCATCTAATTTTGGTAATTCCTGGAGAACAGATAGCTCGGTAAGTATACTTTACCTTAAAATTGTTTCTTCCGTAATAAAACTCTTCTATATATCGCTAAGTATATTTGAACTTCAAAGTAGTTGTGACCATATTTTGTTTAGCCGCGAAGAGTTATTGGAATAGCGTTGTACTATTTGAAGAGCTTTAACTTATGTATGTTTTAGTGTTCACCAACGGGACCAATCGTCGACTATTGCCACGACCTATCCATGAAATCAGAAGCAATGGAAGCCTGTGGTATACTCCGAACTGGACTCTTTAGAGATTGCAGGGCTAAGGTAAGTAATTTTTACCAAAATATTCATGGATTTCCTAGAGATTTTGATGTTTATAAACATAGTATACGTTTTGCTAAAGACCGCTTTCGTCGGCTAGGGACTACCATTGAAATTATTTACATTGTGTTCTGGAGACACATATTCAATGTTGGAAAACATAATCAAACGAAGATTGATAAGATGCCACCAACTAATGATAAATACGTTTAAGTAGTTCCATCCATAGGCCCTTACCTTCCAACACACTCCTGTCACACTCCTGTCACGTATCGAATACTCCTTATAATTGATTAGTTTCACTGATGTTTTATTCACTTGACTTTATCTTACAACAACAATGAAACAATACTGTCAGCATATATATAAATCACCCTTGTCGGCTCGGAAAGTAGCGCCGCACAGGGGGTCTTAATGTGAGACAAAATCCGAGTACCCGGAGTAAACGTAGGTAGGGGCTCTATATCTATTTTTATGTCCGATCGGGACATTTAACCCAGAGCGTCTCTGTAAAAACGATGCTTAAGTTCTTCTGCTAGGCAGCATGCTATGCTATCATTCAAATAATGCTTTCTGACTTGGTCATCGAGATGTTTTCTTGACCACATGCTATTGTTACTTACAAACTTATTACTAGGAAAGAAACTGGTGAGGCCTGTAAAATACATGAAATATAGTTTTGTCTACTAAATTACATATGGATGACCCTGGTAAGTTATTTTTGATTCTGTCAATTTAATCATGTTTTTACTTTAGCGATCGGCAATACTATACGTTTTTATTTTGAAACTTTACTTATTGTTTGATGAACATCCACCGCAGTCTCAACGATTCAGAAATGATTATTGATATTCAAATAACCAAAATCAAGCTACGAACAAACATAAAAATAACGACAATATGTGCAAACATCTGTATTTCAGTTCTGCTATGTTATTGAGCATGTTGTAGGAATTGAACTGAACACATTAATCAGAAGTCTATAAACTGAAGAATTGAGTTTTACATCGGTATGTTTTGGAAATAACTAGGATTCTGATTGTTATAATATTACAATATTTAAATAATTTAAACCATTGCCATGACCTAGGATATCACGAAAAAAAGAATCACTTGAAAATAAAACATTATAAAATACCTTACTATTTTATACATTGCAGATTAGCTATTTGAGTTGGTACCAGATGTGTGTAAATGAGTACTGTAAAGCAGATACAGATCAAAAGGAACACGTGCGATGCTATCATGTAGGTGCATTCGCCCATGAATGTGCCCAGGTAGACATAATCGTCTCATGGAGAAGCAGGGACGTATGCGGTGAGTAAACGGGGAAAAGTCAACAGCTATGCGTCCCTTATTATGCATAAAATACGGCAACAGCAGTTTTGTCTGGAATGTGTTTAAAACACACATTTTTACTTTAATTAAATATTACATTTGCTTTTATAAATACATATTACATTTTATAATTGCTTCATTTTCTAAATTGTTATTTACTGCAAGCCAACTACAACAAGTCGTTAAAAAGTATGGCTATAGGGAAGGAATATAACTAAGCGTACATGTAGTAAATGTAGATCCAGGAATTACACGCATTTTTCATCATTTCATCTTCAGCTCCCTCATGTCCCAACGGTCTTGTGTACAACGAATGCAGCTCGCCTTGTCCACGGTCATGCTCGAACGTATTTGCTGATTTGTCAGAAAGTTGTTCAACCAAAGGACCATGTCTTTCTGGTTGCGAATGTCCCGGAGGCACTATCTTACAGGATGGCAAATGTGTGGCACCAGACCAATGCAAATGTCACTACAACAAGGAGTACTATGCACCGGGGGACGTTATAAAAAGGGATTGCAATGAATGGTACGTAAACAATCAGTTTATTTACTAATGATGATGTAAATATAATGCATTTTCCCCTTATGCACTATATTCATAAAAAAGCCAAGAACAGCTTTCTGTTACGTTTTACTTTATAGTAAATACGAGAATTTGTCTTTAATCGCATTTGATAGTACCCATCGCCATTTATTTCACGTAACAGTACTCTCGAATTTGTCGGTATAGTGTGAAAAGTCACAACATTCTGTGCCACATACGAAAACAACTACTTTATTTTTACGGTAAAACTTAATTGTTCACCGGTAAAAATGTGATTAATGAATTAATACATTTTTTGTTTGAAGCGAATGTGACAAAGGTGTATGGATATGTACGGAGGAGAGATGTTCCAGTACAGCTAGGATAATAGGATTGTCGCATGTCAAAACATTTGATGGACAAGAATACGACTTGGATCCAAACGTTGCAAAATATACTTTTGTTGAGGTTAGTCCTTTTACATGAACATATAGTCTTCAAATTACCGCATATATATTTTTTAAGGTTAGGAATGCGGATTTCGGTATAACTTTCAACATTTGGTAATGCCAGTATGCAAACTGAATGTAATAAAATAGACTGTAATTGCACTCGGATAATTGTTTTTGTATCGTTTAGATTGATTGACAATAAAAACTGTCCTAATCGTAGTTAATGTTTCAAAGCCATGTGCCATTAACCGATTACTTTAACGTCTTTGTTACACCATTATCTGCTCTTATATTATTGTCTGTTTTATGTTATGGAAACGAATATTTATTACTAACTCTATAGTACGAACATTTTCCTTCCGTACACTTATGTCATGTTCATTTGATTTTAAAGCGCACTGACGACGCCGAAGTTGACACCCGATCTGACCTTGTGGTAGACATGTCCTTTGACAACTGCCCTGTTATAGATTCGTCTTACGACCGAAACTGTCTCATAGCCGTTCACATCAAATACAAAAGCACGCATATCACACTGAGAGGGAGTGAAGTATTAATCGACGGTGAAACAATTCATGGAAATAGTTTTTATTATTTTCATTCTCAAGATGTTTACATCAAACAGGCCACGAACTTATACATTATGGTGAAAGGATTTGGATTCCAGCTTCTGTATGACCGATCACGAGCGGTATATTTAACACTTGATCGGTTTTATATGCATAAGGTATGTTTTTTTCTTTAAACTGAAATTCAAAAATAGAAATACACCAAGCTGTGTAGATATAAGTAATAAATATATATGTATTTAACAAACAACCCCCCCCCCCCAAAAAAAAAACATAAGTACATTTTAAGGATCTCCCAACGCAGACGCGGGTCGTTAATGCGATACAGATATATTATTAACATAACGAAACAATATTTAGATGCATGTCATTTGATAGTCTTTAGAGACACAAGATCTAGAAGGCTCGTTTTGATGAATCACTTAAACATCACTTAGTACTGTTAGCCTCCTGCCCTTAAAGCACGTCATAAGCAGACAACGATATAGATACTAATTTTCCCGTTTGATATTGAATAGGCCTGTTTTATTGACCGGTCATTTAGAATTTAAGACAAACAAATGAACAATGTTCTAACTGAATTGTTTTGCGTGTTCTTCGTTGCAATTTCATAAAGATTTATGAGGGTAATTGGTTAAAAAAAATCATCTTTTCTTTCACAATTGTTTACTAACTAGAGATCAGTAAATACCGAATTTAATTTTAATAAACTATAATTTGAGTGTCCCTTAAGCAGCTACACATTGTTATCATCGTGTATTGTAAATTGTATATGATGGAAGGAGAGCAGCCTTAATAACTTTTAATATCAACAATAAACGCAACACAAAGGACAATTATATAAAATCAACCGCAAATAGTATGTTACAATCAGGAGGGTCATCCGTTTACCAATGTTATGTTATTGGATTATATGAGGGTATCAGTTAGTCTGTATATCTTAGATTTAGTCCACAATTGTTACAGACTAAGTGGTTTACTAGATGTAATTGATTGTTGTTTCAGGTCCGAGGGTTATTTGGTACCTACAACGATAACAGGAAAGATGATTATATGGCAAGGAATGACTACCCTTCGACTGAGCCTCATCTGTTTGCGCATGGCTACAGTGACAGTGTTGACTCTCCAAAACGATACAGTCGATCGTATCAGACTGCTGCAGTGGTAAGTGACAAACAGAAGTATATTTTTTGACAAATGTGCTTGTAATTCAAATCGGTATTAGTAACTAAACTTTGGGTTACTTTTGGTGATAAAATGTATTTGAATATATCATCCGTATGTCAATATTTCTGCATAGTTCATACCGTTATATTTAAGCTATCAAACATTTTAGAGAGATGTCATACGCAGCATCAATACGAAAAATCATTAAGTTTTTATATTTATATTTTATTTAAATTACAACTACCACTACCAATCACTGCAAAGCAACGCCTACACAAAGTTTACCTATATTGGTTACCTATTTTATTATAGGCAGAGGAGGCGACTAAACTCTGTGAACTCCTAAGCAGCCATCAGGTGTTTGCTGTGTGTTTGGGACGAATCGAGGTGAAGTTTTATATATCAAAGTGTTATGATGACTACATTTCTAGTACCATCGAAGGCCGTGACAAAGTGTTTTGTGACATAACAGCCGCCATGGCAATGGAATGTGCAAATATTGGCACCAATTACATTTCAGACTGGACAGAGGCCGCGGAATGGAAAACGAGATGCAGTAAGTACACCTGCCCCATTCCCTTTCACACGCGACAGTACACTATACTTGCCAATAACTACAGTTGTGCGATCGCACAACGCTCCAAACGAGCCGTGTGCAAACCATCCGCACATCCTCCGCACGTAGTGCTCACAGATTGGCAATTTGACAAACGATCTCCCTATTGTGCGAAAAAACATTCTGGAAGGAATGTGTGATATTATGTACATTGTATACGTATTTAATATCCGATCGGTATATTCATCAATATATGTTACACATAATTGCAATGACTTTAAAACTGTCAATACTGTTTTTTTTTTGTTTCGTTTCAGTACTAGTACATGTACATAATAACTGTTGAATGGAGTTAATCGCTGATTAGAGTTCAACGGTGATTAAACGATTATCAAAACACAATTAAACTTTTGATATGAAGATTGTGTCTATTACGCAGTGTGTTTGGATTTTTCACACTTCTGTCACGGTTAATAAGTGGCACAAGCAATGTACCCGTTACCTGGTACTTAACAGGTAACTGATAATAAGTAAAAAAAATGATATTTTATCTACGTTTACAGTATGTGCATGTATATGATGATATATCAACACACATGACGATTAAGGTTGCTTCAAAACGTGTTTGAACCAACCAAATTAGACAATTTTGCAAAAATAACAGAATAAATCGTGTTGGGTCAGTGCCACTGTTTATGTGATATTTACTATATTTTACTTCCAATGTAATATTTCTGATTATTTCTGAAATTTATAACATATTTTTTTCCCCTCTTCCAGTGGCATATTCTCAGTGTAACAATGGAGGATCGTATACAGAATGCGCGTCTGTTTGTAATGGGCGGTGTCGTGACACACAGATGTCAGACATGACCTGTCAGGAAAAATGTGTTCCTGGATGTCAATGTCCAAGTGGTCAACTGTACAATGGCGACGGACAAGGATCTTGTGTTACCCTTGATCAGTGTTCATGCTTCAATCGTTATGATGGCAGCTATGTTGAGGCAAACACGGTTACACGGCAGGGATGTACAAATTGGTAAGTCTGTGTTATATATTCATATTTGCATTATGCTTGATATTTGCAGAATCATTTCAGAACCTGATCGTACAAGATGGCCGCCTGGTAGCTATACTAGAGTTAACAGTGCAGGAACATTGTTGACGCATTTTTCTGAAGAGGAACTTGACTGATCCACTGACTGATCTACTGATCTACTGACTGATCTACTGATCTACTGATCTACTGACTGATCTACTGATCTATTGACTGATCTACTGATCTATTGACTGATCTACTGATCTACTGACTGATCTACTGAATTACTGATCTACTGACTGATCTACTGATCTACTGATCTACTGACTGATCTACTGATCTACTGGCCTACTGACTGATCTACTGATCTATTGACTGATCTACTGATCTACTGACTGATCTACTGATCTACTGACTGATCTACTGATCTACTGACTGATCTACTGATCTACTGACTGATCTACTGAACTACTGACTGATCTACTGATCTATTGACTGATCTACTGAGCTACTGACTGATCTACTGATCTATTGACTGATCTACTGATCTACTGACTGATCTACTGATTTACTGATCTACTGACTGATATATTGATCTACTGATCTACTGATCTACTGACTGATCTACTGATCTACTGACTGATCTATTGATCTACTGACTGATCTACTGACTGATCTATTGACTGATCTACTGATCTATTGACTGATCTACTGATTTACTGATCTACTGACTGATCTGCTGATCTACTGGTCTACTGACTGATCTACTGACTGATCTATTGATCTACTGATTGATCTACTGACTGATCTACTGATCTACTGACTGATCTACTGTAAACTTTTGTGTGTAATTTTCTATGGTGTAGACGGCTGCGAAGCAATCATCATGGATTTTGAAAATTGGAACATGTTCACGCTATTTTGTCAGAAAGAACAGATCTGTCTTAAATCTCGTATATATATATTTTTCTAGTTTATACATTAATTACCACGCTAGCAAATATGTCTAACGATAACTCCTTTGAAAATACAAAATCAAATACAGCAGTATGAGGATTTGGTCAAAAGTAACCAATGATTGTTGACATAATTATATCGAACAGGCACAGCACGAGAAAAGAAGATTAAATGTAGATAGCAAAAATGATAACGCAATGGTGGGCGCCAGGGTCCCTCCGGAATCTCTTTTTGTTAAGACACGATTTAATATGAAAACGTATATAACAGTGGTAATTGTAACGGTGGCCGTTAATACGTCCCCAAATTGCCCAGCAGTCGTATATGATTCCAAGTGATCTCTCTATATTGTTCTAAACAACATAATACACTTACAAACGAAATTCGAATAAAACCGGTCGATCTAAACTTTGGCCAATCAGAGGCTGCGGCTGCAATCTTGGATGCGCACATGCAAAGAAAAGGGTTTCTGTTATAGTAAACCATGTCCACAAATGCTCAAATCTATTTTATTGGAGGCATGGTAGTCTAGTGGTAGGAGGCTGGGTTCGAGACCGAAGGGTTGCGGGTTCGAGTCACACCACGGCATGGTGTTGTATCTTTGAGCAAGATACTTTACTCCGCTTGTTCCAGTCTACACAGCTGTAAATGAGTATGTGGTTGGTCAGTGTTGGGACTTTAAAACTGGTTAAGCTGCAAGAAGAAAAAACAACAAAAAACAGGATAAAACAAATTTCATTTTTGGGACTTTAAAACTGGTTAAGCTGCCAATGTTTTACTACATAAAGCATAATTCAATGGTGTCAAGTTTATATATGATATTTTTTTCAGCGAGTGTACTTAAATCTTTTCTTCTTGATGATTTGCCATTTTAACAAGTTGATTTGTTCAAATATCCCTTTTATAAATCACTCATGATTCATACTATTTCAAATACATCGTGATTGCAGTACGTGTGCAAACGCAACATGGTCTTGTGACAACGAACACTGCGACGAAGACATCATCTGTCCGAAAACCCAGATATATAGGTTGTCAATCACAGGTTGTGAACCAACATGTGACACTATTGACCGGTCCGTGGCATGCTCCTCTGCCATCACGTACGACGGATGCGGATGTCCTGAAAATACATACAAAACGCATAATGTAAGTAATATATTGTTTAAAGTGAATTTAGCATATTTTATGCATATTCGGTCTTTCGTAACATCCATTTTTGATTTTCATAACCTCCGAAATTGAGTCGGTCGATTGCTAAATTGTTGTTAATAGAGTCAGTGCTGCATATATAGTAAAATAATATAGTTTATGTACATCAAATATTAGTTGTTGTCAAAGACTGCTAACATGTGTTCGACATAAATAGGCAGTATTCTTTACAACTAACGTGTTTAGATAAGAATGGATTGGTTAATCACTATTACCTACAAGAGTGTAGTCGTCAATGTGCAACCGTACTTATTTATATAATCTCATTAAAAAAAATCCAATATCATTAAAAAGGATACTTTAACAATACAAAACCTGCATGTTTCTGACAGAGACGTAATCATTAGGACGTTATACCAATCATACAGCCAAGGGCACAGGAGGGGTTGAAGATAATTTTATTACTTTTTTGTTTGTTTTGTGTCGTTTCCTTTAACGTACTGCATCTGCTTTTTAGTAGTCCTAATGACCTGTTCGGTGTTGTTGGCTAAAAGGAATTATATAATAATGTTTCTAAAAATACTACATGAATGAAATTTAACTGTATAAACATAACATAGTGTAACATATACATGTGTGATTTATTCATGGACATAGCATCTTTATATGTATTCAATGCTGACGCATATTGGAATATACAGATTTAAAAATATACTGGAATCGTGTACTTCATCCACTTCTACTGCTGTGCAATTCAAGACCAGTCGACATCATTGAAAGCACATTCTGTGCTGACAAACATAAATACCTAACACCAAATTAATTATCATGAAACTTTCAATATGATATATTTCATCGTTTTGTCTCTCGTATTTTATAACTTTTATCAGATAATTGTGTATTTGCTATCAAAGGTGTTCATGTAATGAACGCCACTTACATACTATGCCTTGGTCCATCTCAAAGCCAGAATTTGTGTAAAATCATAGTTTTGTAAATTGAATAACATCAAAGTTTACAGTTAATCGTCTTTTCTCAGGCAATATATATTTCATTTAGCATGCTAAACTTTCATTTTAATATAAAAAAATATTTGTTTTTACATATCTTATTAGTATTTTAATTTCATTTTGAAAATTTTGTTATTACTGTTGCCTTATGTTGCCTTATAGTAGAATATCGTTTTACTTTACGAAAAATGTATTATTTATGCAGGGGCGATGCGTGAAGAAAGACCTTTGTCCGTGCACACGGGGAGGAGAGTATTTTGAACCCAATTCACTATTTGAGGATTCTTGCAAAACATAGTGAGTGTATTTCTATATATAAACATATATTTTTTGTGTATAATATATATGATCTTTTTAACTGTGTAAGCCGATAAGCAGTGATATATGCGCAAGAAACAGGTTTCATTATATGCTTAGCATGTGTTTCAAGTATTTATAATTTTTTGTTGAATGAAACCTCAATTCTTAAGAAATTATTCCAATTTTATTTATCTTATTTATATTTAGAAAACATGGCGGAAAGTGATGATATTGTCAAATATTGAATATAAATTCTTCATAGATGAGTCATTTAATGTGCCAAATGTTTTTTGTTTTTGTAAATAAACTATTCACTAAAACATTCGTTTTTAAACTTCAGTCGCTGTGTGAACAGGCATTGGTTAAAGATAAGCGAGACGGACTGTCCAGGTATGGCTGAGCTTATTGATGTTCAATGTGGCTGCACTAACCGAAATCAATATTTTTATGCCACGCATTTATTTTACTCAAAATATTTATTCATTCGTTTTGAAAATATGATATTCTCCAATCAAACAGAATTGGTACACGAATATTTTTATCAATAAGTTTCCATTTACAGTTGTTTCGAATGTTTATTTAAAGGAAAATGGGAACCATACAAATTGTCAATATTGATTAATAATAAGGTATTTCGTCTCATATAAAAGGTTAACACTGTTTGTTTTAATTTTCGTTTGAAAGGTGTCTGCTGGGCTTCAGGGGATCCTCATTACCAAACATTTGACGAAGTTCACTACTCCTTCCAAGGAAAATGCGAGTACACACTTGTACGGGAAAGCAGTGCCAATCACGAATTTGAAATCAGTACCACTAATGTGGAATGTGGAACTACTGGTATTTCATGCACAAAATCTGTTACCATCAGAAAGGGACAGACATCAATCCAACTGGTGCGGGGACATCCACTTACAATCAATGGTGTTGCTAATACCGATACTCTTATCAAGCTCACAGGCGTCAACATCACTGTAGAGTTTCCATGGACATCCGTGTTTCTTGATGAATTCTCCGTACTTTGGGATAATGGTATGTTCTGGTTACTTGTACCTGTATGTATAGCAGAACATAAATATTGTCCTTTTTGTTGTTGACATAAGCAATAACACTACGTGTTCTATATAAAACTTTTAGGTTGGCTTAAGTGGCATTTAATTACCTGACTAGAGAAACACATAGTATTATTATACTGATTGGATTAATCGATCATATTATCTCATTAGTTAATGTGGTTAATGTTAAGATTGATCAAATTTGTTTTCATATTTTATCAGAATCTTAATAGTACAGTTACATCACCGAAAATATTATAATAACGTCACAAATTGTGACGTCATAGGCAATAGGCAATAGATAGTGCAATAGGATTATGAAGCAAGAATACAATCTACTATCAAATATATCAGATATCATTTTGCAAAATAATAAATCACGTTCAGTGAGACATTTTCATGTTGGAAATATATATTCGACGTATTGATAGTCCGATTACACCCGATGTCGTCACAGACAAATGCCGCATTTAATGAGATAACTCATATAACTATAGGTTTAACTTTGTCACGAGTCCTTATTGTATTTATTTCTTGATCAGGAAGGATTCTCAAACAAGATTATGCATGTTTTGTTTTGGTGTGTTTCTAGTTTTTTATTACCTGAAAGTAACTCATTTGGTAATAAATTTGAAATGGTCCTACATGGTGTCGATCGTTCTGCACTTATCAAATATAGGTTTAACTTTGTTATCTTGCAAAGAGCATTACTAGTTTGACACCATGGACATTTTAACAATCTATACGGTAAATTGTGCTTGACGATTTAAATTTAATGTTTCACTTTTATACTTTATATATAATGTAATTTTTATCTTTCTTCAGGAACACGAGTGTTCATATTCCTTGATTCGAAATGGAAGGGACGTGTAGAGGGTCTGTGTGGTAACTTCGATGGAATTGATAACAACGATTTTCAGTCACAGAGTGGAATTACAGATCCAACTGATATTAATACTTTTGCAAATTCTTGGAGGAAAGCTACATACTGCCCTGAAGTTGAAAGTGACCGTAACGAGCTGATAGCATGTTCGGTAATATATTCAAAGTTACATTTTGATTCGAAAAAAATACTACCCTACTAATCTAATCATGTGGTACCTGATTTAGACATTGTAGACATTCACTATTTTGATAGTTATTTTTTAATCCTTGTATTGCTGTGATATAAATGGTCATCTTTTTCTACTGTCTTATACCAACCGACATAAACAGCATGTTGTATAGTTAGTTGTCCAACTGACCTTTTTGTACATTTCAGGGAGGTCAGTCCATCCGAAAGGCTTGGGCAGAAGAAAGTTGTAGAATTATAAAAGAAGGAGATCTGTTCCATTCCTGCAGGGATAAAGTTAGCAATTTTGAAGACTATTATGACGATTGCTTGTTTGACGCATGCAGGTAGGTATAGATAACTTGCAATATTTATAGTGGATGGAAGTATTATATATAAACTTTTTATCATTATTATATTTTTGACAGAGATAAAGAACTGACAGGTTATATTATTTCTTAACTAACAGATTAGCAAATAGGACATTTTAAAATTTCCTCGATATCATCTGTATTTGAAACGTTTGTTATAAGATATTAAATGTCTTTTCTTATTTTTAATTGCCAGTTGTGATAAAGGAGGAGATTGTGAATGCTTGTGTACAGCAATTGCTAATTTTGCGGAAGAATGTAATAGGATTGGTGTTTTTGTGAAATGGAGAACACCCCGATTCTGCCGTGAGTATATTATATATAGATAATATTCATACCCCGCTTCGAACCAAGTAAGGATATATAGTATTATTTTTGCGCTTGTATATTTGCGACTTTAAACCCTCTATCCAAGTTTTCGAAACATATATCTAAATAACCTATCGAAGCCTCTTTAAATATTTGGCTATCAAAGATACAGAGCTATAAGTTTCCGGGGCATTTATCGGCTACTTTATTATGCATTGAAACCAGACTTGGTGAATACATCCCGAGACGGCAATGTATTGCGTATTAAAAACGTTTTTTCTCGTACTAATATTGTGTCATCCCATGTTCTTTTCAATATTGTTTCATATATAAAATGTGGATTACGGAGGAATCTAAATAGGTCTTAGCTTTGAGGTTTATAATTATAATTTATTTGATTAGAAAAGTTTATGTCTATGACATATATGTATACGTAGAGCAACAAAAGTACATTTAGAAAATAAAATGGCGATGTTTGTAAATGCTGCAATATATTAGCTTGTCGCAAATGTGGAAAACAAGAGATTATATATGATTATAAATTAATATTTGTGTGACATCTCAAACGAATTTCTCTCGATTTATTTGTTTTCAGCAATAATGTGTGAAAACGGATTGCGATATACTCCATGCATGTCGCCCTGTCGTCAGACTTGTAGAAACATTGGCAACGAGCCAGAACCTTATTGTAACAGCACACAGTGTGTAGAAGGATGTTTCTGTCCAGAAGGCTACATACAACATGGTAAATATATATCTTTGGATTCCTAAAATCTGATGTGTCATCTTTTACTTAAAACCAAACATATGTTTTATATTAATTCCTTTTAGAAATATTTACTTTTTTATTTACTTTTGTTTTGTTGTCAGTTTTTTGTGTGTGTTGAAAATTTGCAATCTATAAATCGAGAATATAAGTCTGAGACAAATATAATTCCATGTTTTGAACGGAAGCATAATACAATTATAATAGGCCATTACAAGAGTCAAGGTTTTAATTTGAAATAAATGATTTTTTTTTCCAAAGACGATGGTTGTATTCCGGCTGATGAATGTCCGTGTTACGAAAATGGTATCGAACATCCAAGCAAATCTGTTATAACCCACGAATGCATGAAATGGTGAGTTTTATCATACAAAGAATATGAATAGCTGTTGGGACACTAAAGGTTCATATCTCTACGATATGATTTGTTTTATATCGTTTGTTTTTTAATTTATGAATTCCGGATCCTATATCCATATCCTCTCTTTCCATAACCACGTTGACCTCCAATTATGTTATCGGTTATTCATTCAATAACACATTACTTCCTTTTTCAATTCACAAAAAAAATAAAAAAATAATCCTGTGGATAGATATATGTGCATATATACTAGCGCTTTATGTTCATGTTTAATTATTAAATGATACACCTAACTATTAAAAAGATAATTCATATCTACTTTTCGAACTTTTCTCATAAATGATGACACTCTTTCCGTGTTTTACAGTACATGTGTCCGGGGCAAATTTGAATGTGAAGGCTACAACTGCATAACACCTTGTAAAGAAGAGCAATTTACTTGTGACGATGGACAGTGTATTGGGGAGGTTTACACATGTGATGGACATATGGACTGCAGAGACGGATCAGATGAAGCGAAATGCAGTACGTTTTTATCGTATAGTCGTTAATCAACGCCATGTTTTAGTCGCTGCCCTTAAATTTTATGTTAATACACCACATTTTAACACTGTCTTATAAATATATATATATATCTGTGCACATTTTATATCGTCATATTGAATAACCCTTTTGAAATGTCTGACTCTATGTCAATGTATAATGCTCCTCTTGTAGACTGTTCTGCGGCACAGTTTACATGTCAGAATGGTGCATGCATCGACATGAAGGACAGATGTGATGGCTTTAAAGATTGTGCTGATTCGTCGGATGAATGGTATTGCAAACGTAAGTATTTAACCAATATCATAAGTTGAAAACATTCCAACTTTAAAATGATAAAATACTTATAATATTTTCATTGTAATGGATGCATTATGCAGACGTATATACAATGTACTTGTATATCACTTGGACACAGACATATGACAAGGTATTCTCAACGAAGCATGTATTGTTTTATATTTTATGACCAGATATTTTAACATTTTATCAGAAATAAACAGACACTTTTGTTACCTACATATATATAAAACCTGACGAGCCCTTTGAAGGGTGAAATCAGCTAGTTTTTTAGTCGGTCGTTAATCTTCTTTTTTCTCTCTATTTACTTCCTTCACATGGACATTTAATCCTTTTTCTATTATTCATGTACATATATATATGATTACACTTTGTTTTTGTTTATATTAGATGAATGTGAGTCTACATCTTATGAAATATTTCAATGTGACAATGGAGATTGCTTGCCTGCATCCTTCCGGTGTGATGGTCACTATGATTGTCGAACGGATATATCCGATGAAGCGAATTGCACAAGTACGTATTATTGAATGTCCCATTACCTTTTCCATGTACTGATAACATCACGATGATATGTTGATAAATGTTTTTGAGGTTACAATGAAGTGACTGAAAGTAGCACATTTTGCGTTAAAGTATTTCTTTATCGATGAAACCGATAAACGTGAAGCTGTATTTTAAGTTTCTGGAAATTTGTTGTGATTTGATTGCTTTAAGTGATTTCTATTAATAAATATGTTTTCTATTAATTTTAGCGCCGGGAAAATGTGACCTATTGCATCATTTTAGATGTATTGAAACTGGAAAGTGTATACCTAAAACCATGGAATGTGATGGTCACGACGACTGTGGAGATGGCAATGATGAAGATGACTGTAACTATAATTTTTCTGATAAAAGTATTCAGTACCAATGTTATATTTAATGTTTTGATGTCGTCACGGTATCGATTGTTTGTTTCATTCTTTTTACTCTAACAATGTTTGTTCCAGTGATATAATTCTATATCATGTTTCTTTGCACTGCCTTTATAATTTAACAACTTATATATATATATAAATACAATTCTGCAACAATAGAAATGGACATGTTTCTATAATTTCCGAAGTTCAAGGTAATAAACCACTCTGTTTTAATTGGAATGCAGGTACAACAGTAGCACCCACAACAACCACAACAACTATCATGACAACAACAACAGCAACAACTACAACTACGCTACCGACAACTACCCCTGAATGTGAATACGTGAACGGATTTGAAGGAGGATTTGTTAAACAAGACGATGTGCGTGTTCTGTCAGACGGGGAGACGTTTGGAGTGGCTAGAGATATATTTCCAGATAAGGGACTGATAATTCCCTGGACAGATATAATGATAATAATAACATTAAAACCCTCCGTAACACTAGGCTACCTAGAGTTCAAAAATCCAGAAGGAAGTAACATAGACCAAGTACAAGTAAATGTCGATGGAGAACAAGTTGCAACGGTATGTATTCAGTATATCTTATCTTTATTCTTAAATTTTATTTCGTAGACATCAACAAAATCGGCTTTACTGTGTTTAAGATTATTTCATTGACAGTTTAAAATCATTTGTTGTGTAAAGGAAAGTCGGTTTGTCATTTTGATATTCGTCTGTTTCAGGCTTCGGTTAACAAACCAATACCATTGCACGGTGTCCTGAGTGATAATGTCGTCATATTGATTAAGAGCCGACGCGACATCTCCATTGGTGTAACAATTAGTATTGAACTTCGAGGATGCTTTTACGGTAGGTCGTATTTGGTCAATCATGTTCCTTTCGCTGGTTGATGCTGCATAACACTAATTGACACTTCTCACAAGATCGCAGCAATACATGTAATGAAAAGATAATATCTTTGAATTAGATATTGTAATGCACCAACGTTTTGTATGTACATGTACCCACATAGAAATTCGATCAATCATCTCAATCAGCAATATCCACCAGTCCGTTAATTCATGTGATGGCATATATGGTTTCATAAAACGTGTTGCTTAGAGGTTTCTGTAGTCCAATGAAATTTGTAACTGAATTTTTCATGCTTTATGCGGTTGTTAATGATGTTTTTGGCTAAATCACAGTTAGTAGTATTTTTGTTATTCTACGAACAAAGAAGGGCATACTCTCACTGAAAGATGCGAGTCACACATTACATCCATCACAATTTGGGTTTCAGTACTACGTATCTAATATTTATAAACATTGTATCGACTCCTGTTGATCAGAATGTTTCAGCCTAGAGCTAAGTGCCATAATGTTCCTTTGATGTACAGGCAAGATAGAAATGGGGCAACACGTGGAGTTTCTTTCATATACAAATATATATATATCCCCTCCCTGCTAAGATGGTTGATTGTTTATTCTTTCTAACCTTTTCAGTAACACAGAAAGTCTACATTTTTACGACATATTCAATGTACGGAAGAACAAAAACCCACTTATGTTTCTTATACCTTGTTATGAGATCCAATATTTTATTGGGTAATGAAGTGTTGATATTTTGATTGCACACGCTTTTGAGTGAATGGATTTTCTAAATTTCGAATGAAAAAATTGAATTTAAAGATGAAAAATGCTCTCGTGCTATGTGAGAATCCTATAATATGTTATTGAATATTTTTGAAGTTTAGGTATTGTGTTGTACTGCTAAGTTGGCATTGTTGTTTACAGTCGCATCGACAACCACAGAGCCGACAACAACATCAGCTACCAGTATATCTACGTCAACAGCTTCGACCTCCACCCCATCAACCACAAGTAATTACTTACACAATTGAATAGTGTTAAGTTATGTTGATAAAGGACAATTCTCAAGGATGCGAGAAACATATTTTATGAAAATATATCAAATGTTTATGTATATCAACAAGGGGTTGAAGAGATATACGCACTTTCAATATCCTTAACCACAAAAAGCATTTGTCAAACCATGTCAGTATTGTTAATTTCAGTGCCATATGTCACAATTATATTGATGATATAAAAATATGTTGAAAATTCCCTTAAATCCTTCAAATGACAACTGTATTGATGTACAATTGCTTTTTAAGGGATATATATATATAGATGTTTTTATCAAAAACAAAGAAAAGTTTGATGATTTTATTCAGCCTGAAAAGCTATGCAGATTTGATTTATGTAGTTTTTGTTTTTTTATTGGCGTTTATTTCGACACACACACATCCTTCAGCACATTTATGTTTCGGCATTTATTGTATTAAAATAAATTAAAAAGTGATTTTAATAGTGCAATATTGAGGGGAAAAAAACTCGTTGTTTCCCTGACTTTTGCACAGGTTTCTCCATTGAATGAGTTGAATAGTTCAATAACATTGTATTTGCGAAAGTTATCATTTGACCATAAAATCCTCAAGTGACCATCTAACAAACACTACTTTGTTATTATGCTTTAACCAAATCACCTCTTTGCATTACTAAATAGTCTCCTAATTGCACTTTTTACAAAGCAAACATTGTTTGCGGTACTTATTAATTGAGAAAGCAATTCAAGATTTAAAAAAACTGTCAGTAAAACAAACGTGTTAATAATGATAAATACAATAACATTCAGTATATAACTCTATTTCAGTGTTTATAGACAATATATACACATTCATACTTAAAGGAAACCTTCATACATTTTGTACATATATTGTATATACATTGCGCATAAAGAATAATATCATATAGGAGTTTGTCCAGTAGATGTTATGAACATACATTTACATAAAGAAACAAACATATCCATTTATGATCCTTCAGCATTATCATTATCATCGTCATTATTAATTGATTAATTGATTTACTTTTTTATCAATGTACTACTGTTTTGTTATCAGGATGATTTCCCCCCAGTTGTCGGGTTTGTGTATTAATCTATAAGTGTTTCTGTTTTGCTGTACGAAATAAAAGCAAACTTAAAGATTATCAATACCACAAAACCATTTTATATCACCATTGAAAGTGCCAATTGATTTGAAAGTCATTTTGTGGATACAGTAAATGTCACAAGAAGATGAATTACTTTATATCGTATTAAAGGCTAGTAAAAGCTGTAACTTATCAACATAGTATTGTGATTTTTAGACGATATGCATATTTTTCTTCTCAATATGCATTATCTTACTTGTTACAGTGACCACAGAATTTAAACCATGTGATATATCAGAAGGGCTTGGTTCGCGGATGAAGATCCGTGATTCTGATATTGAGATAACAAATGGCTACGGAAATGAAGATGTTGCTGATCTAAGACCAGACGGTGCTGGATTATTATTTCAGAAAAACTCTTATCTAAAAATTAACTTTGATGCAACGCCGGTGAGACTAGCATTGATGAACGTGACTACAGTTTCGCAAGTCAGAATTAAAGTGACCATCATTACCGCATCTGGGGATCTTGAAGAAATGGTATGTGTGATTCCTCATTAGTGACTCCGTCTGTGTATGGTACATGCAACTTATATGTTGTTATTGAATGTAATGCTACATATAGAATCAAATGTAACAATAACACGTGTGAAGTAACAAAAGTAACATTTCAATTCTAACAATTTCTTCTTTATGATACTTTTAGGAATCCCGAACACCATCCATCGTAAGATTTAATGGCCAGACTTTCGTCAAACAACTTCAAGTGTTCTTTTTAGATGAAGGAACCATTAAAATGGAATTATTCGGATGTTTCCATTACGGTATGTTAACATCTTTGAAGAAAAACCTATTGAATCTGTTTTCACAACAATCCTGTGTTCGAATAAAAAACATATGTTTGCGTCTTAATGCATCTAAAATACTCAAATTGTGACGATCACCTCCTTGCAAGTCATTGTTATTTTAACATTTTCCTCAAATTCAACAGCAAAAATTGTTTTTGCATAAGTATAATTTTGGTCTATTTTGCTTCATCGAATTTCAGGTCGATACAGTTTTTTTCATTTTTTATATTTCTGAAAACAAACAAGAATGTAGAAAAAGAAACAACAATCAATAAAGGAGCTCACTTGAATGGTAATATTAATGACAAAACAATATATGCTGGTTGCATTTGTCTTCAAATCTCCATTATGTAAACTATCCGGTCAGTATCATACGGCCGACTTGTAAAGAAACATCGTGTTATATGGCCGACGTGTAAAGTAACTTTCTGTAATACGACCCGCTTTTAAAGTAACTTTGTTATACGGCCGACTTGTAAAGTAACGTTATGTTATACGACCCACTTGCAAAGTTCATTTCTGTTGAACGACCCACTTGTAAAGTTCCTTTCTGTTTTACGGCCGACTTGCAAAGTAACTTTCTGTTTTACAGCCGACTTGCAAAGTAACTTTCTGTTATACGGCCGACTTGTAAAGTAACATTGTGTTATATAACCGACTTGTAAGGTAACATTATGCTATACGACTGACTTGTAAGGTAACATTATGTTATACGACCGACTTGTAAGGTAACATTATGTTATACGGCCGGTTTGTAAAGTAACATTGTGTTATACGACCTACTTGTAAGGTAACATTATGTTATACGGCCGACTTGTAAAGTAACATTGTGTTATACGACCCACTTGTAAGGTAACATTATGTTATACGACCCACTTGCAAAGTTACTTTATGTTATACGACAAATTTGAAAAGTAACTTTCTGTTATATGGACAACTTGAAATGTAATTTTCTGTTATACAGCCGATATGACAGATGAACCTAACAGCCGTAAAACCATGTCTTTTCTACCATTTAATCATATTTTTTTTCAAAAAATAAATACGTTTCACACCCAAACCAAAACGTTCTGTATAATGTACACATCTAGTTTTCAACAGTGTGATACAAAAAAGACGTTATTACTTGATGACATGCACGTTTAGATAACAGTTGAAGTGCATTTTATTCGGAAAGATTCCTTTCACTTCGGTATATATCGCATCGCTAGGGGTGAATTTGACACAGGTGTATAAGTACTACATTTGTTCGATTAGCGATATAAAGTTGCCAGGAACGTCTTCACTGCTAGTAAGATTAATTCAAATAAATACATCTCTCTATTAGATTTCTGTAGAAAAGGTAATCGTTTTCATAATATCCACTTCGAATTTCGTTTAACAAACACTGGAAATGAGTTCAATAGATAACCAGGTGGGTACTCCCAGTTCGATGGCTGGTGTTTTGATTGGAAGACAGGTACGTGTTAGATCGATTCCACATAGAGTGTCGCTAAACAAAATACTAGATTTGAACACAATGACATACAATGTTTCTGTTTCAATTTTGGAAAAATATTCAGTGTCGTAAAGGTATCATTATTAAAGAAAGTTTTGTTTTCACTGTAGTGTATATTGATTATATATATATTAAAATGTAAAAGGTGAAACATCATTGCATATACTCAGTTAGCCGAGACATGGATACAGCTCCTTTATTGATTACGAGATGACATCAATCTAATGACGCATTTTTAGTGAAAGGTTTCATACGGGTTACCATCATCAGACATTTATTATTCCATCGAAATGGAGCATTTGTAGATAATGCATTGGGATAAAACAACAAAAAGGAACCTTAATGAGATAATTAAGAAGGAAAGCTACAGTATATGTTTAAAGAAGTCATCAAAGCGTCAACTACAACAAGGAACAAAGAAACTATTTTTTCAATTTTGGTCAGGTCAGGTCAGGACCGAAAACATTTAAATGTTATTCCACGGATAACTTATTGTGTTATTTAAAACATGTGTTTTGTTTGAAAAAAAATCATGCAGATAGACATCTTATATATTTTACTTGCTAAAACTGAATTATTAATCAATATCTGAAAATTTAACATTATAAGGCAATGCATCTATGATAAATGATGATCTTTTTGCAATGAATTATTGTTTCTAGTTGTTTTACATATAGTTTACCATCTTAAAATCACATAGCAAGTATACAGTGAATATATTTTGTCTCATGTTATATAGATAAATATTAGGCGTTATATAAAGCATGAAAATATCTGTTTATTTATTGAGTTTTCCCCAAATATATTTAAGAGCAGGATGTCGTGAGAAGTGTATACCATGTTCGTAGTTCAAAAGATTTTATAAGATATTATACACACATAAGTATCGATGATAAAATAGTTCAAATTCACAATATTTCTCCTTTGCGACTTTTCTTATTCATATGTTATTTCATACAAATCTTCTCTTTTTATAGTTTTTCTCTTACTTATTCATTGCTTTGTTTACGTCATTTTAGGTTACAATCGATTATATTGATGATCTTTTGCCGAAGATCACAACTTTATTTAAAAGTTCTCCTAGATGTCCTTAAGTTGTGGTTCGTCGGGCCGCAACAATACAACTTAAGTCCCTTTCATAAACATGTGTGGTACAAGATTCTGTTTAGATGGTCCACAAATAACTTGACATAGACAAACAGTTACAATTGTTATATTGTACCTGTAACTAGCCGCGACGTACAGTTAGTTAGAGGTTGTTATTCCACAAGATGGTGTAGCGCACCTCCTCAAAAGAACAATTACTTTTCTTTCGCTGCTTAAGATAGCGTAATATGTGTATATATATATGACATCAATTTGAAGACAAACAAAAGATAGCACTTCAATATCAAGGTATGTTATTGTTATTGTGTTTATTATTGTATGCTATTATTGACTACATGCCTTCTTGCGTCAGTTGCAAGTGTCAGTGGTATTCTGAAAGGAGAGGAAACTAACATGAAAAAAATATCATGTCGACCACCTGATGAAATATATGTGTATCAATTCCTGTAATAATGATATCAACGTTTCCATAACTCAACATTTAAAATAAAATAAGCATGGTAAGGAATTTAATTTTGTTTCACTGTGTTGTGTTATAAAACAGTTAATTCAGTCATGCAATTCCTTTACGAAAATGCTTGAGAAAGTTATGTCTTCATGATGTATTTTATAGTAAAATAAATAGTTTCAATGACAGAATCAACAACTGCGTCTACATCAACAACACTCTCTACATCAACTACAACAGAAGGTACAACAGAAAGGACTTCATCAACATCAACAGAATCGACAACTTCATCAATATCTACAACACAAACGACGACAAAAATAACAAGTCCAACAGAAGGTACAACAGAAAGGACAACATCAACAGAACGGACAACTGCATCAACAACTCCATCAACGACAACTTTAACAACGATGGCTACTACAAGTCCTAGTATGTTACATATAAATGAACATTTTCGCCAAAAAACACTATTTTAAGGTATAACCTGGCATATTAACAGTTATTATGTTTTTTGCACGACGTTTTTATTAGTAAGTTTGAACAACGTGTGACAAATGGAAGTGTCAGGTCCTGTTTGTAATATGGTATATCAGTATCCTAGTACTAGTATACGAAAGTTAAAATATTTTCAAAATTGTGATGTGCAACTTATACATAAATTCTTTTTTAGTTTGCGAGATGATCGAAATTGATGGCGATGACACCGAAATGTACACTTTAACGCCAAGGCTTTACGGAAAGAACATGCAAGATGCGATGAGGAAAGATTCTGGTGCTCAGACAACTCTGGATTTCCCCACTGGGAACACACCGTTTTTAATTGATTTTAAATCAACGATTACAGTTTTGAAACTTACATTAACTGTCGAAAAAGAAGCCAATGACCTTGTTGTTGTCGCTGATTTTGACGACAGTACAGAAAAGGTAAATTAGATTTTTAACAACTGTTACAAAATATTTTTCATACAATCACTATTGATTTCCCCACTCCCAACCCATTGGATAAACATATTAGGAGCTGGTAAACATTTTGTTTACTAACTAGTGGGTAACTCTATGGACGTTATTCCATTGGTCAATCTTCTAATTATGACGTCAAATAACAATGCTTTGCGACGTCATCTTCTATTGTGACATCATTGTTCATGGCAATTGTTTCCGTCCATTTGGAACGAAGATAATGTAGTCCGAAGAGATGCGAAACACGGTTTTCTAGATATACTATCTAAACATTGTTCGATAAAAAACGTCCCTAAACTTGTGAAGATTGATAAATATGTTTATCTAAATCTCCTTAGTTCATTTTCTAATTGTATAAGACACATCGTGTATTTAAACAACTTAAAAATTAACTTATCTCGAGTAGTTTCTTTTGTCATAAAATTATAATTGTTTACTAATGATCTATAATGCCAATGACAGATATTTGAATAAAATTAATATATATTACCAGTTTAATAACGTACTTGTTTGTAGTAAACCTCGAACTAAACACTTCTCGATACGATCAATATTTGGTGTAAATGTAAATGATCATATAGATGTTTTGATATTAATCAGTTGTTTTTTTATTTTGCAGGCAAATGAAGTTTCAGACACCGGCAAGGTTATAGTTACGTTCAACTTACAGGGCGGACTACCTGTTACACGAATCGGCATCAAGTTCATTGGTGTTGGGTCTGTGCAGCTCAGTGATATTTTTCTAGAAGTATGCAAAGGTGGTAAGTATATGTCGAATTGTATCAACTTTGTCTTTTAGCAAAATACATTTGGATAGTACACACTCTCGTGGCGCACTATACTTTTTCAATAAAAGCAATGAGTTTGTTTTCAAAAACAGACTGAATTGTTTAAAGATTCACCGTACTGTTAAATAGGTGTAAAATATTCCTATATCAGAAAACACGCTCCATTTGGTAAAAAAATCTTTTAAAGAATCGATGTCATGTCATTGCGTTCAGTAAACTGAATACTATTGTATTTTTAGTTGTTTCAAGTACGGTATCCACTACAACTGCCCTTGTAACGTCACAGACAACTCCAGGTAAGAATGTTGTTAATCAAAGCAATGATCATTGATTGAATAGTAAAGAATGTCAACTGCATTCGACGAAACAATAAAAAAATCACATAAATCGGATATGAAGAAAAAGTCAGCAGAAGAGGTGATAAAAAAGGGAAAGGCCCTGAATATTTCATCTTTGCACGCCGAGAGTTAAGATTTTTTCTGCGCCCTCAGTTATGAAACGACTGAATTCAAACGATTTGATTAGTAGCGGCTACACACAACAGAAAATCAAGTTCCATAACTATTAAGGTAGCTACATACATAGGGTCATGATGTGTATATCACGATCTATTGTATACGACGATTTAGGGCGTTAAATCTTTGCAGCTTAATTGATATATTTAACCAGTTATGTAAATTTATCGGTTATCGAGAAAGGGAGAAAAAAGAAATCCTATCTCGTGTAAGCATTTGTATCACAAAACGTAACAAGGCAAACTTGACTCATTTTACCAACATAACCTTACTTTTTTGATAGCCTAGCAAAATATTGTATTGAGGAATGGACAAGAACTAAGTGAATGACCTTCTCCGATTTTAACTGAGAGTACAGAATATGGTATTCAATTTGAATGAACACAAATCAATACGACGCGGATTAACATTCCGTTTAATTATCAACAACACAACCAATAACATTTTTTTTTCAAGTTACAAAGTGTATTCGGACAAACTCAGTATCTACTTTTAGTGATTCGAAACTTCAAAAACTAAATCGTAGCGTCTCTCCTACTTTTAGTCATATACACTTTTTATATATAGTAACTGCTCACTATTTGCTGACGAATTGCGTATTTACTGATCACACATCTCTAAAATCAGGGCAAAAGTTGTATTGAGAACATGTGTCTTTTTTCGTTCTTCACTTTATAAAGGGTAAAAATAGAAGCAAATTGATAACATCGTAACTTGAGAGAGATTCTGTCAAATGCAAAAAGCGGCCAATGCAGGAAGACTTGCAAGCTATGCAGCTTGCCTGTACAAATCATGTCGAACTGATACGTAAGGCTTTTCAAAATACCGTTATATTTCATTCTTCGCCAGAGCTTACTTCGCCTCCATGCCTATTCTTCTGCGATAGCAACCATAAATGCCTCAAAGAAGATAATATATGTGATGGAACTCTGGATTGTTATGACGGGAGCGATGAAACCAATTGTTCTCCAGGTAAATAATCACGAGGAGAAGACGTTTGTTAAACAGTTCCAGATTAAATGCGAAAAAACAAATTACCGTTTTTTTAATGACTGCGTATGTAATGTTCTAACGTATGGCCTAGAACTGGAACATAATTAATATATTCGAAGAAAAAAATAGCGACTCGCAAATAAACCTTTACTGGACTGTACATTTACAGGTGAAACAACAACAACGACATGGAAACCAACGTCTCCAACATTGGGTAGGTCCAGCAAATATTGAAATGTAAATATGCTTCAAAACAAACAAAAATAGTTCATTTGTCAATACGGATATTGCTTTCACTGGTGTTTTGGAACATATTTTAAATTATATTGATATAGAATTTTGCGAGGTTATCTGGATTAAAAAAATGCAAATAAAAAGTGAAAGCTTATTATATTGACATTTTCTATTAATTCTACCTGTTTCTGAATGTAAATTTCGCATATAACCGTGTGTGCATAATATTTTAATAATTATTTTACGTTATACAAACCACTGTGGGATAATTATTATTAATCATGAAACTTATAGGTGCTTATTGCTCATCCTGTAATATATGTATCTTTTGTAACACGGAAGGATAGTTTTAACTATATCATGGTAAATGTATCGATGCCTACATCTGATAAAACCGATCTGGGACGTGATAATAAAAACCCAATATGAAATATTGGTGAATCAACCGGAAAAAGACCAGTGCTGAATAATTCGACACATTCTTGTCGTTGGACCATTCTTCGCCAAAGAGTCTTCGCCTTGTCTTCGCCTTATCTTCGCCTATTCTTCGCCTGTTCTTCTCGTTGTCTGACTGACAACTGCTACATAATAGGTAGGAATACGTTTCAAATAGAGCACACGTATGAACAGTCAAATGCATAAATTTTCTCTTAATAGAATTAATTAATCAATAAATTAAAAATGATTGAATAAGAAATATATCCCACTGTGTATATATGCATGTTTTAACTGTTTTTTGGTGAATATTTACAACACGGTCAAATTAGATTGAATAAGCACAAGGAGTCAAGTAAAACCATCTTTTTAAATCATATAAATCGGATGATATGCTGATGATGTTGAAGCAACACGACATATATTCAATAACTCTGGCGCTACGATGATGATATTTTTATATTGTATGGTTCTTTTTTTTACATTTCAATTATTTAAGTATTATGATATGTTCTATACTAATAATAAAGCTGGGAAGGTTTAGGCTAACCTAAGCATTTTGCAGATTTATTCTACACATGGGGATAAATGTTTCAACAAATGTCTTTGGTTTAAAATCATAATATTGTACCTACCCATAAAGACCTATCCATTTGCTTTTATTCATGAAAAATAGTATGTGTTTGTAATTATTCATTCTGAATTTCTTCATTAACAAACGACAAACTGTACATTGTACCTTCTAAGCAGATTGAACATATTATTTATCGTCTGAATCATACGAAACTATCCAGAAATGTTCCGTTCTGAAGCATTCTCTCTGACCTTGTAAACTTCGCAATATTTACAAGACATGATATTAAACAGGGTTATGACATTATTCAGCATATATATTCTTAAAATAAAACGTTGGAATACCTTGTTCAAAATATATCTCGTCCATGTAGAAAGTCAAACACAGCAAAACATTTTACTGCACTATTTGTCGTCAATTTATGACACATCAGTAGTACTAACAGTTAAGGAATTAAAAAATGTAATGTGTTCCGAAAATAAATGGAAATGTATCAATATTACAGCAGAAGGAAACGCTTTTAAAATATGTTACATCCACTCATTCAATATCACAAGCAGAAACATTTTTTCGAGCATATGATTTATCTATTCATATCTGGTTTTCAATATCTAATTAAAATATTCAGGAAAAAGAGGTGTATTCATCCCTTATATCATCATTCAATTCTCTAGATTTATGCATTGATAAAGATAAATAACACATTTCAGACGCAAATCACGGTTAAGTTATCAACTTAGTAATGTTGTTAGAATAGTTTTAAAAGATAGGGACTTATTCAGTATAAATATTTCTGTTTGCTCCTTTTAAGACAAAAGTTCGTTTTTTATCATCAACATTGATAGACAAACGAATCAAATAAAACTATATTAAAAGAGAGCATGAACATGTTGCAATGTACGCATACATCGCACTGTTGGTTTGAATATTCTTGTATTTTTGGTTTTGGCAGTGTTGCAATTTCCGAGAACTGAGATTAACATTTGCACAATCAACTTAACGAAAATTAGCAATTGAGAACTATATTTAAAAAATAAAAACATTGTTAATGTATTTCATCTTTCGGGAAAGATCGTCAGATATTTCTGTGAGGTGACTTTCATTCAGTATTGGAAGAAAGTCATCTTCGGTACGATAAAAAGAAATTTTCCACCGTCCTGCACAGACAACTGTTTCGTTGATCTATTCAATTAAGTTCTTTTCACCGTCAAATTAATCTATCAATTAATTTATCACAACTTTTTTTAATTGCACATTTTATCATTGATTTTTCAATATATTTGCCTTCAATTTTGTTTAATATAATTTAATTTATCACATCTAATCAATTGTAGTATAATCTCTCATTAATTTAGTGTAGTCTATTATATGTTTTGTTTGAGGGTATTTCTCTATCATTTGGTCATTTAAAATTAATTAGATTTGGGAATTAGAAACAAAGCAAGGATACAATATTTTTGCAAAAAGTAGTGTTCACTGATATAAGAATGCTACCTCCGGGCTTCGGTAGTAGAAAACAATTGTGTTTACATTTGCATACGATTACCTCGTGCTATTAACAGACGACACCATTGACTGGGTCATAAGTAAAACTGTATATATAGATATTTGTCCATCATAAACAAATTATGTGAGACATAAGCGAAACTCCATATCTATGTGTGTTTCTAAAACAGCAATACATTCTTACGTTTTTCTGGTGAACCGGGTAATTGTTTTGGCAGTGTTCAGGCGACGTACAAACGTCTAAACATACCCTCGTGTATGGTCACGCGGTCACGTGATACATCTTGACGAACGGCCACGCAAATATATAGTAGGAGACGATATACTGGAAAATCGATATCGGAATTTATTTTTTGGCCTCGTCTAATCGCAGCTAAATATTCTGTCATAAATATATGATGGGGAAATATCAAAATCACCCTATTTTAAAACACATTTGGCACGCATTAAACTTTAAATAAACATATATTAGTAAAACGATACACTAATTAGAGTTTACGTTCATACTTAAATATGCGTAGAGTAAAATATTGTATTGCTCTAAATACACATTTTACCAGACTTGCTGTGCAATATAATGCGACAATTATTTTAACGTTACTTGTTTCATTGGACATTGGATGTTTAAAATGAAAATATTGCACCTCATTTTCCTTCGTATTTGATTAAATATAAAGACAGGAAAAATAGTGAGAATCATACAAACTGATACTAATTTATCAATTCGTCTTCATACAATCTGGATAATATAATAAATAACATTTTAGCATCACCTTAAAAATGAGTTTTGGTACTGTTTTTGGCTTGTGTGTCTCTATCATTCCCCGGTATTTCAAATGGCTTTTAAGTAAACAAGACAATTAGCCGTGTCATTGGGGCAACTACCTTTGGTTAGAGTAGAGGTTTATAATATTATAACTGCATATATTGTCAGTGAATATTTTACAACACAAATGTATAAATTCAGGTTTCAGTTGGACCTTTGCATGCTTCTAATCAGTTGTCAATATATCAATGTAACAGTTGCTTTTCAACATTTACAGTTATGTAAAAATAAATAAATATCTTCCACGTTTACAACATATTTCACTTATTCGTAAATCAGTGATTAGTTTTTTGAAAATATTTCGAAACACCGACTATTGTTTCATCACTTATTCGTAGGTCAACGATGATTTTGAAAATGGTCTGAATCATTAACATTTTGTTAAAATGTTTCCGGTTCATCCGGACTAATACTATTTTGATATCTTTAAAAGTGTACAAGTAATATACATTGTCTTTACTAATTATGTGAAAGATGCTCTTTTTTTCTGGCGTTCAGTTCATGTACTGCTTCTATCAATCTGTCGGTTTCTTCTTTAAAATTATAGCATCATCAACATTATCTACTTCGACAACAACTTTACCAACAACAACAACTCCCGAGAAAACGACATCAACTACTACCTTAACAACAAGCTCCACTACCACGTCCACTACCACGTCGACAACGACCTTGCCAACGACGACCACCATGCCCACGTCTACAGAATCATCGACTCCAATGGAAACGACATCTACAACTACGGTTACAACTAGTAAAACAACAACACCTACGACTACGCACAGCACAACAACAGGTATCCATAGAACATGATCGGTTTCAAGTGATATGGTTTTAATGGCAACGTAACAGTTCATGAACATTGTTTGATTTCACCAGAGTACTTCAAACGACATATACCTTTGTATGCAATTTGTATGTAAGTGATGATGCATGATCCGTAATGCCGATCTGGATAGAGTTTGAGTGAAAATGCATTTCTTTAATGATCAACCTCCATATATATTTTCAGAATGTGACGTCCAAATGATTTCAAAGGATAACACAGCCGATGTTGTATCCGAGACTACTAATGGAAAAGGGAACGGATTGGACGAGCCATTTATTGCAAACTCTGGCGTTGTACAGCCAACAATCAGCTATACGATCAAGGCTATTAATGACGATGTTAAATTCGTCAGAGTTGCTCTCACAGTGACGAATGTCCAGACTGTCAAAGTTTATGTAGTTGACACAAACAACAATGTTGTTGCACCTATCAATCCAAAACAGGTAAAACATGTCATTCCTATTGTTTTTACTGAACATATTACAAACTTGTAAGCTAAGCAAACAAATCAACATCTAAGCCATTTCCCTATAAAATTTGAAATACAAATACCAATAAAAGGAGTATGTCACTTACTATAAAGTCATGTAATATTACGTAACGAATGTCTTGTGGATATAAGTAGCTTTCGAAAACGAATTTTAAAATCATTGTTCCTTCGTAGGTGTCAGTTACCGGACCATATCCAAAGACTGTTGAAATCAAGCTGATTGGTACGGAAGGTGTGAAGTTGAAGGTAGTCCTTGTACCAACTTCATACGGTCAACCAAAACTTGAAAACGTGGAGATTGATGCTTGTTACACTGAAGGTATTATTTTTGAATTTATTTGAAGAATATTACATACCAACTGACGACAGATCTCACTCATAGTAAATGCGAAATCCATGTTTAGATATTATTAACAATGAGGTTGAATTTATTACATACATTTATTGGTCGATACTATTCAAATTGTAGCAACAACGACCGCAGTGCCTACAACAACAACTGTTCCGACTACCACGTCCACTACCACGTCGACAACGACCTTGCCAACAACGACCACCATGCCCACGTCTACAGAATCATCGACTCCAATGGAAACGACATCTACAACTACGGTTACAACTAGTAAAACAACAACACCTACGACTACGCACAGCACAACAACAGGTATCTATAGAACATGATCGGTTTCAAGTGATATGGTTTTAATGGCAACGTAACAGTTGATGAACATTATTTGATTTCACCAGAGTACTTCAAACGACATATACCTTTGTATGCAATTTGTATGTAAGTAATTGATGATGTATGATCCGTAATGCCGAACTGGATAGATTTTGAGTGAAAATGCATTTCTTTAATGATCAACCTCCATATATATTTTCAGAATGTGACGTCCAAATGATTTCAAAGGATAACACAGCCGATGTTGTATCCGAGACTACTAATGGAAAAGGGAATGGATTAGACGAGCCATTTATTCCAAACTCTGGCGCTGTACAGCCAACAATCAGCTATACGATCAAGGCTAATAATGACGATGTTAAATTCGTCAGAGTTGCTCTCACAGTGACGAATGTCCAGACTGTCAAAGTTTATGTAGTTGACACAAACAACAATGTTGTTGCACCTATCAATCCAAAACAGGTAAAACATGTCATTCCTATTGTTTTTACTGAACATATTACAAACTTGTAAGCTAAGCAAACAAATCAACATCTAAGCCATTTCCCTATAAAATTTGAAATACAAATACCAATAAAAGGAGTATGTCACTTACTATAAAGTCATGTAATATTACGTAACGAATGTCTTGTGGATATAAGTAGCTTTCGAAAACGAATTTTAAAATCATTGTTCCTTCGTAGGTGTCAGTTACCGGACCATATCCAAAGACTGTTGAAATCAAGCTGATTGGTACGGAAGGTGTGAAGTTGAAGGTAGTCCTTGTACCAACTTCATACGGTCAACCAAAACTTGAAAACGTGGAGATTGATGCTTGTTACACTGAAGGTATTATTTTTGAATTTATTTGAAGAATATTACATACCAACTGACGACAGATCTCACTCATAGTAAATGCGAAATCCATGTTTAGATATTATTAACAATGAGGTTGAATTTATTACATACATTTATTGGTCGATACTATTCAAATTGTAGCAACAACGACCGCAGTGCCTACAACAACAACTGTTCCGACTACCACGTCCACTACCACGTCGACAACGACCTTGCCAACAACGACCACCATGCCCACGTCTACAGAATCATCGACTCCAATGGAAACGACATCTACAACTACGGTTACAACTAGTAAAACAACAACACCTACGACTACGCACAGCACAACAACAGGTATCTATAGAACATGATCGGTTTCAAGTGATATGGTTTTAATGGCAACGTAACAGTTGATGAACATTATTTGATTTCACCAGAGTACTTCAAACGACATATACCTTTGTATGCAATTTGTATGTAAGTAATTGATGATGTATGATCCGTAATGCCGAACTGGATAGATTTTGAGTGAAAATGCATTTCTTTAATGATCAACCTCCATATATATTTTCAGAATGTGACGTCCAAATGATTTCAAAGGATAACACAGCCGATGTTGTATCCGAGACTACTAATGGAAAAGGGAATGGATTAGACGAGCCATTTATTCCAAACTCTGGCGCTGTACAGCCAACAATCAGCTATACGATCAAGGCTAATAATGACGATGTTAAATTCGTCAGAGTTGCTCTCACAGTGACGAATGTCCAGACTGTCAAAGTTTATGTAGTTGACACAAACAACAACGTTGTTGCACCTATTAATCCAAAACAGGTAAAACATGTCATTCCTATTGTTTTTACTGAA